GCTTGGTGGCATTTATGGGCCCTTTGGTCAAGTTAACAACCAGGGAACAGACAGCTGAGCCTCTGCTAATCAGATTGGGGGAGCAGAACTGTTTCGGGGAGCTCAAGGCCACACAACACCCTGCCCTGGGGCGCAAGGACTGGGCTGCAGAGGGTTAAGACCTGGGCTTGGGTTGTGGGTTTCCATTCCAGGCTGGTGAGGGTTAATGGCAGAGCCTCACACTGCAGCCTGCGAACCTCCCTCCATGTCTGAGTCACTGGCACTTAGCAGCCTTAGAGGGGCAGCCACCGAACCACCCCAGGGCTCTTAGCTTTGTTCTCTGCCTGCCTGTCCTCCAGACACCCTACCTCTCTCCAAGCTCTCTTTACCTTTCTTGCTTATGAAGTTGTCAAGGCCAGATCTGGGGCTGACCATCCCGTGGGGCTTCTCAGAGCCAGCTCTAGCCCAGCATCCTCTAGGAAGGCTCTCCTGGCCCCCAGCATCTCTTGCTTCTCCAGCAGCCGGAGGGCCCAGCGCTGGGGTGTGCAGTGGTGAACCAGATGTCCCTCTCAAGTTGCTCACCCCTGGGGAGCAAGTCCAGGGCCCAGGCAGTTGTGTTACTAAATGAAAAGTGCAAAGATGGAGGCGGGGTAGCCTAGAACACCCAGCTTGGCCGTGGGAGTTGGCAAAGCCAGGGCGCCCGGCAGTTCTCAAGAGAAATGGAAACATCTCGGCACACAAGCTAGTGCATGAACGTCCACAGCAGCGTGATTCACAAAAGCCCAGCAGTGGAAGCAACCCAGTGTGCATTAGTGATGAATGGAAAAGGAAATGCGGCACATATAGCCAGACAGTGGCATAGTATTCAACTGCGGCAAGGGACGAACTACTGCCACCCGCTGCAATAGGGACGGGCTTCGAAAACACGCCAAGTGAAAGGAACCAGTGACAGCAGACCACGCGTTCCATGATTTCATTTAGATGAAATGTCCAGAATAAACAGATCCATAGAGACAGAAAGCAGATTCATTATTGTGTGGACCTGGAAGAAGTGGGGTGGCGCTTGCTATTGATACAGGCTTTCTTTGGGGGTAGATAAAAAGGTTCCAAAATGAGATTACCGTGACGGCTGCGTAACTGTAGATACCTGCCACCGACTTATACACTTCAAAGGGTGAATGTCTTGCTGTGTGAATTGTGTCTCCATACAGCTGTCTTTAGAAAACATAAAACAAGGATCAGGAGAGCCCAGAGGTCAGTGGACGAAGGCCAAGTGTCCGTATTGGCTTGATTTCACACACTGTCTTCCCACCATGCACCACACAAGCCTGCAAAATGCAGAATGAGATCTTCCCTTGCCCTGGCAGGGAGCTCTCTCTGCACAGTGGGAGGCCTTCCTTGCCCTAAATGAGCCCTTGTCCGCGTAGGGCATGTGAGTGTGTCAAGGCCTGCCATCTGGGTGATTATTTTCATTGACTGTGCTGTTTGGACAAACGGAATAGCCAGGGTGGCCTTCGGTGTGCTTGTAAATGAAAGACCCTGGAGAAGTACCCGTGACTCAGACCTGTTCACCAGGTCCTGGCTGAGCCTGGGGAGGTGTAGGTGTTGAGGTCATCCAAGCTGTGTCCCCAATCACCCCAAACCTTGTCTCATGCTTCTGGGGTCAGCTGGGCTCAGCCAGTTGCAGTTCACCCCCAAGTGAGGCGGTGGCAGGGGCTGGAGTCACCTAGAAGTCTCTTACCCACACATCTGGCCATTGCTGCTTCCTTGTAGCCCTTGGAGCTGAGCTCCAAGAGTGAGCAAGACGAGAGAACAGGGTTGATGCTTCATCATCTTCGATGGGCCTTGGCCTTGGAAGTCCCACATTGTCACAGAGGAGTGTCACTGTCACAGAGTCAAAAGCATGTGGGATGGGAGATGCTGCGATGGCAGCCTTTAGAAAATACCACCTGCCCCTGGAAATTGATGTAGAAACAAATCTGTGACGCAGCTCTGCCCTCAGGGATCTGGGTAGAGGCTGGTGAGACTGATTCTGGACACGCCTCGGGCCCGGCGCCTTGGTCCTGTGTTTGAATCTCTGCTGCTCCCTGGTGAGGCTGTCCAGCGCTCCGGATGAGTTTCCCTCTCTGTAAGAGGGCATGGACTCAGTGTTTGCTTTATGGGATGGCTGGGAGGACCCAGTGAGATGGAACCGGGCATGGGCAGGCGCTGGCTGGTGTGTAATTGCTATTTATAATGCCAGCTCGTGCTTACTCGGATCGATGCAGGGATGACGCCCTTGTAGGGTTGGGACGCCAGGCCTCTCCAGCCCCTCCAAGACGTTCCTCAGTCAGTTCTAGGCCTGCCCTGGACTATAAGGCAGTGGTGGGCTGGGTGCTGCTGCTGGACCCCGGCTCTAACCCAGGGGACCCCAGTTGCCTTGGTTCTCTGGAGATAGCCCCCCTTCTGCTCCCTCCTCCCCAAGTCAAAGGTCCCTTTGGGCAGCCAGGGTGGAGTCGGAGTGTTGGGGGCATAAGTTCACCAAATGTGGTTTCCGAGAGCTGGGGAGGAGGGTGCTGGTGGCCTGGAGACACACTGGTAGTGTGGGGTCTTCGCAGGTGCAGCTGGACGACAGAAGGAGCACCAGCTGTCAGGGCTTCCTGGGCCCCACCCTGGGAGGACCTTTACCAAGCCAACCACTGAATGGTCTTTGCTGTGAGCTCCAGATGTGTCCAAAGGGCATGTTGGCTGGACTACCATTCCTCAGGCCTGGCAGAAGCAGGGCCCAGACAAGGTGCATCTCCTTCATCTCCCTGGCAGCCCCTCTCCCTCAAGAGCACACAGACCTGCAGGCTAGTTGGATCCCCAGTCCAGGACCACCCTGAGGCCCTCTTTACCTTTTGGATCCAGGGTTGGAATCTGAGCCTCACTAAATACTCCCTGTGTGACCTTGGGCAAGCCATGTACCCTCTCTGCCCCCCCCCCCCGGAGTTTTCTCATCTGTAAAGTGGGGAGATTGTTGCTGAGGTTGTGATGCACCTAGAGGTCAGAGATGGTGATTCTCTGTAGAAATAACCAGGTAATCCAGAACTCTCCCCAGGAGCATTAAGAAGTAGCCACAGGGTCATCCTTGCAGCTGAAGGAAATAGGTCCTGTGCCTTGTCTCATTTTGCTTATGATACAGATGAGGAAACCGAGGTGGTACCGAGGGTGTCACAGAGTCACAAAGGCCTGGTTCAAATGCAGGTGCTGCCAGTTACTGACTCTGTGCCTTCCAGAATGTTAGAAAAAGCCTGTAGTTCTCAGTGTCCTCACCTGGGGCGGGAGGGTCACCAGGATTCTCAGGACAAAATAAGAGGCCTAGGTGTGAAGGCGTGCCCAACCCCTCCAAGGGACGGCCTCCTCTGGAGCAGTGACTGCGAATCAGAAGCACTCAGGGAGTTTTCTAAATGCTGTTTTTTTTTCTTTCCTGGTGCTGGGACGGAGCCCAGGGCCTCACACATGCCAGGCAAGCACTCTAGCACTGAGCCACATCTCCAGCCCAATGCACTTATAGAAAGCTCCCCAGGTGCCTTCGTAGACGTTGCTTGGGGGAAATTCAGAACCTCAGGCCCGGCCCCCGAGCGCTGGACCAGAATCCTCCTGTCGAGGCGACTCCGTGCACATTATCATTTCTGTAACTGCAACTCCATAGCTTGGGAAGCACTAGGGGTGGGGGGAGGGCAGAGAGGCAACTGAACGGCCCTTGAAGATGGAAAGGGGGACACTGTGACTCCCATCAGGAAGACGGAGCAAAACCCCAGGATGGAGGCCAATGGACAGAGTCGCCTCGGGAGCTTCTCCCTGCCTGGCAGGTGGACCTAGGTGCCACTGGCCCCCTCACTTCCTCGGCTTACCCCCAGAACTGGCAGCACTGTTTTGATTGACATGCTTGCTGGCCCCCAGCTGTATTGTTCTTTGAATTTTATTTGCTGTCATGTATATATTTAAACGGGACCTACTTCGGGCAGGGAGACTGGTCCCCATCAATGTCAGACAGAAAGTCACTCAAGGCCTCCAAGGAGGTAGGTGGCAGGAGAGGCTGTATCTTAATACAATCATCAACGGGATTCCTCACCCACGTGACGTGGGCCTCCAACTTGGCATCAGGTCCCAGGAAGGGGAGAGAGAATTCTGGGCCCCGGGGTTTTCAGGTACCGTTCTTGGATCCTCCACCTGCTGACTGCTTCCCCCGTGACTAGACTGATGGATGGTGCTATTTGGTGCCAGTTGTGCCCTGACCTGGCCCGATAAGGATGTCCCAGTGCGACACGTGGGTGCTTGGCACTCGGCCAGAGGACTTTCTCCTTGTTCTTGGCGGGAGGCCGGGGACAACGTGGAGGGCAACAAAGGTCAGGACCAGTGAGCCACAAGTAGGCCGGGACACCCCAAGCTCCTAGCCAGGTGGGAACAGCCCCTCACCTTTGGGATCCACGGATGAACACATCTCAGGGATTGCCAGTGGGCTCTCCTGCCCTCCTGTGGCCTTCGGTTGTAACTGCACCCCCAGGCTGGCTTTTCACATTAGTGGGGAAGGCGCCCCCCAAGCTCCACTTGCTCCACCCACAGACAGGTCACAGAGAGGGGGTGCTGTGATTCTGTCATTTGGGGCATTTTCCAATCCCATAAGATATTCAGCTCTAAAAGGGGAATGGAACTGGCATGTAACCAGGGCTTATTTCTTGTACCAGGGACTTTGCACACCTGGTTTCCCTGACCTCATCAATAGTCGTGTGTGTGTGTGTGTGTGTGTGTGTGTGTACACACATGTACACTCAGGTGCACATGAGGACCAGGTGAGCTGTGAAAACCAGGGGCAGAGCAACAGGGTGTTGATAGAAAGGGGAGTGTTGGGGGGATTGCAGCAACCTGAGGGGTGTGGGTCCCCTCCAGAGGGCACAGCCACGTGACCCTAGCAGATCACCCTTGAGTGGGAGGGCTGGACTGGCACTTGACAGAAGTCACCGTCTGGATCTGCCAACAGTTTCGCATTTCAAGTGCAATTAGTTTATAAAAGGGTTTAATATGATGCGAGTCAAACAGAAGCTGTTCGGTATTTTTAACACCGTGCGCTTCCGCGACACCCTCCTCTTGCAGGTGAGGTCTGTAGAGAGGACGTGGCCTGCCCTCTATGGCGTGGCCGTTGAGAGGCAGAGTCTGAACTTGAACCCCTGTCCCCCCTCTTAGCACACCTGTCACCTGCTCTGTTCTCCAGTCCCTGGGGCAGGACCGACCCACTTCTAACCTCTGTGGGGTGGCAGGAAGCATCAGACTCAAGCTAGCAGCTGGGAGACAGTCCACATATTGATCAAACTTGACCAACCAGGGTCCCGCTTGAAGTCACAAGAATACTGTGGAGTCCCCAGAGCCTCACGTGGGCCCCCGAGGTAGCAATAAATGCAGCAGCCTTGCCCCATGTTTTGGTAGTGCCCACCTAGTACCCTTGGACCTGGCTTTTCCCTTAAATAGGACAGAACAGGCCTGATCTCTCCCAAGGTCAGGTTGGCTCTACCTGGACCTGGGTCCAGAGTCCCTAGAAACCCAGCACCTAAGGGGGCAGGTCACCTAGATGGGAAAATGAGGTTGGAAGCAGGAGGGGATTTCATGGCTGAGTCCCTAGCGTGGCCCAGAGCCCTGACCCTTGAGCCACGGGGCCAGACAGTACTCAGATAGTCTCTCCCCCAGCTCAGGGTGGGGTCTCTTCCTGGAGCAGCTGCTCTGGTAATGCAATCTATAAATAGATATTTGCTTTAAAAAAGTAATAAATTAGATCTTGGACCGGCCCGAGGTGATCTGGCAGGTCATGCATCGTGTGATATGAACACTGCTCATGTATCTCACCAATGTCTGTGCCTCACCAATCATGTGTCCTGCCACGTGTAGGGCTAGGACCCAGGCCATTGACATGGGACACATGACAAGTCCCATGTAAGTGCCACATGCCAAGAAGTCATGCATGGTCTGCTGTGTCACAGATACATCATGACAGCCTCACTATGCCACATGTCCCCCTGGTCACATAGATCATGCATAACGCAGTCTCCTCCTTTGGCCATACCAAGCTCCCAGTCCCCAAAAATGTCCTCCCTGAGGACCACGCAGGACCCTCCAGGTGCAGGTGCAGGGCGCAGGGCAGCCAGCTGAGGCCCTTTTGCTGAGCCCTCTCTGGAGGCGGAAGTTGGCATCGCTTGGCTGGATCCCGAGGGTCTTCAGAGGGCCATCAAGTACCCCGAGGGGTCTGGGGCTGCTTGTCAAAGAAGGCAAAGTCCAGCCTGGGCTCCTGGCTCTGCAGACGCTGGGCCACTCCAGGGGGAATGGGGTTATTCCAGAGGCTGCAGGGCAGAGACGGGCATCAGCACCCAGAGCTTCTGCCTCTAGTGTCCTGCCTACAGATTGGGGATCAAGGACCCAAAGCAGAGGAGTTGTGCCCAGTTGCCCCACAGAGCAGTCTAGACTGGCATGGCTGCCCCAGGGAGACGGTGTCCCCCACCCCCACCTCTGACTTCTCCCGCTGTCTTCTTCCCTGGGGGGCCGTGGTCCCAGCCAGGGGTACGCTCCTATGACACATTTGTGCAAATACGGACAATGCTCCCCTTCTTCAAGATACTTCACTTCCATTTTCTGAATTTGTCCTAATAGATTGATGTTGATGGAACTTGACATTTACCCCATCTACTACAAATCTAGTATGTCTGCAAAGTGATGAGGTCCTCATGTGCAGTGCCCTTGCTCAACTGTAGGTGGCAGTGATGACAACTACCACCTAAGTGCTTGCTGCCGGGCAGGCTCAGTGCTTTACGTACTCACTTAGTCCTCACAACTACTCTCTGCAGTTGGATACTATCATTATCCCCATTTTACAGATCAGGACATTGAGGTTCAGAGAAGCTGAGTTACTGGTGCAGAGTTAACACAACTGGCAAATAGCAGAGCTGGGATTGATCCAGGTCGGCTTGCTGCTAGGGTCTTGGTGGAGTGGCCCAAGTCTCCTTCAATAATCCTTGACCTACACCCTGCCTCTTCCTACAGGGAGTCTCCTTAGATTGTGGGGGTTGCTCTGACCTTCCACCCACCACGCCTGCCCTCCACGCCTCTGTTACCGGATGACTTGGATGGCAGACCCTTGGGCCAGGCCTTCCGCCAAGAGCCAGGCCCCACAAGCTGTGATCCGATTCTTCTCCAGGCTTTCCAGTGGACAGTGGAAGAAGAGGGAAGAGAGATGGGGGGGGGGGCATGAGACTGGGGGAAGGGCATCCCTAGCTAGGTCTCAGGCCAAGATGGGGACACACCCTCCCCACATTACCAACATGCAACAGTGGACTGTGGCTGATGCAGCAAGGAGACTGCAGGCTAGATCCCAGGGAGAACTGAGCTTGGCAGAGTGCAACTCAAGGGCTTTCGCAGGATGCAGGTCTCCCCTCCCTCCTCCCCCTGCAGCCCTCCCCACCCCAGAATGCCCTTCTCTCATACTCCACTCTCTTCAGCCGGCCCATCCGGGGCAGAACCTGGGCCAGCTCAGCAGCCGCCTCATCCCCAAGAAGATTCCAGGACAGCCTGCAAGGGAGGAGCCCAAGGGGAGAGTCAGTGGTGGGAGAGCCAGGAGGGGTGGGGAGGGGAGGGCAGGCAGACGCAGGGGAGGTCACCTTCCCTTGGGGACTTCTCCGGGCACAGATAGCTCCTTCCTCTGTACCTATCCCCTGTTCCCCAGCTGGTCTGCTCTCAAGAACCCAGGCATCTTAAGAGCAGGCTGTCCTGAGATCGCAGGCGTGGTTAGGAGCTCAGCCGTGATGCAATCTCCCCCCACCCGGTGCCGCGCCCACCCGTGGGCCTCCCATATCATTGTGTAGGTTATCGCCATGCTTCTCTTTAGATTAGGTGAGGGGTGCCGCCAAGCGGGGTGAGGGGGAGGCTGGCAAGGGCCTGGGGGCCCCTCTCACAGGGTCTCCCCTGCTCCCCAGCTTGGCAGAGAACAGCCTGGCTAAAGGGGTCCCACACTTCTGCAAGGGGCTCCCTTATAAATAACTAAATAATAAATAAAATAACTTCTTATTTTGTACTTAATCCTGGTATCGGGGATTGTACCCAGGGCCTTGTGCATGAGAAGCAAGCACCCTACCATCTGAGCTATACCCCCAGCCCCTTGTGAGACAGGGTCTCACTGAGTTGCTTAGCGCCTTGTTAAGTTGCTGAGCCTGGCTTTGAATTCACGATCCTCCTGCCTCAGCCTCCCAAACCATTGGGATTACGGGCATGCGCCACGGCGCCCGGCTAAGAAATCAATCTTAACAGGAAACATCACGCCTGTCAATGGGAACCCAGTGCGCAGGACCCTACACAGAAGGCTACATACATGGGTAGACACAGTGCAAACAGTGGCGGCAACTTCTAGCTGCGACCCATTTCCTTCCTAAGGTGCTGGGTCTGTGCCCTGCGCCTGTTAGTTCAAAGGGAGGCTCACGGGCGTGAGTCGGCCAGGCCTGGGACGTTCTCTCTGGTGTAATGAACAGGGTCAAGACCGCTACCATACAAACCAGCACCCTCTGGTGATCACCTGAGGCCTCTGTTTTTGGAGGTGGCATTTCCTTCCACCCTGCGGAAGGGTCCCAGGCTAGTCCTGGAAGTCTGGCTTGTCTGGCCTCAAGCCAGTGTGATTGACAAGGGGATCTGGGTCCTGCGGGCACGGCAGGCGAGAGGTTGGGGTGTCGCCTGGCTTAGGTGCCCTGCACTACCCATGGTGGCTCCCCAAACCAGGAGAGGCTCCTCCCAAAGGGAAGCTCAGAGGTGACCACCCCTCAGAGATGGTGGGGCCACCTCCCCTCCCACTCCGCACAGACAGGGGAAGCCGATGGCTGTGCCCAACACCTCGAAGCCCACCACGTGGCACAACTTCTACAAGCAGAGGTTTAAACAAGAACGACTGTCCCCACTTATATGTGGAACCACCGGCCAGGGAGGCCCGACGGGCCTTGGGTCCCACAGCGCCCATTCAGGGCTCAGGGCTCCTGCAAGGCACTCACAGGATTTCTTCAAGGGCTGGACAGAGTGTGAAGCTGGCGGCGAGGCCCTTGGCAGCCTGGTTGTCGATGTCACAGGAAGCCAGGCTGGAGGGACAAGGGGGCGGGATGAGGGGGCGTCTGGGTGGGGGGCAGCTCTAGCTGCAGGGGGAGCCACCTGCCCAGGCCCAGGGCAGGTGGGGAGTCCTAGGAACGTGGCCCTCTCTTGTCCCTCCCACGCCTCTGCCTGAGGTCTCTGTCACTTCCACGGCCCTCCCGGGATCAGGTACAGCCCCCAGCACAGGGCCCAGGATCAGGGAAGCTACTCACTCTATCCGCTGCAGCTGCGGGAGCCCCTTGCAGAAGTGTGGGACCCCTTTAGCCAGGCTGTTCTCTGCCAAGCTGGGGAGCAGGGGAGACCCTGTGAGAGGGGCCCCCAGGCCCTTGCCGGCCTCCCCCCTCACCCCGCTTGGCGGCACCCCTCACCTGATCTCCTTCACATGCGGGCATCCGTCCAGGGCCCGGCCCAGGCTCAGCGCCCCCTCTGGGCCCAGATGACTGGAAGGCAGGCTGGGGAGGGGGGAGCAACAGGAGCCTGGGGACCAGCTGCGTGGACTGGGGGCCTTTCCAGAGCCCCCGGCCCTCGGCACCTTCTCCTGCAGCACCTGACCCTTGGCCTTTGGTTAACCACGGCCCCAGCCCTCTCCACCTGTGGCGGGTGTCAAACACCCTGGCTCTGGGATCTGAGAGCCCCGGTTCAAGGCCAGTTTCTTAGTGCATTAGGAAGGCAAGCTCCCCCCTCTTCTCCAGGCCCAGCCCCCTTCCTGGAGATGGGGCACGGGGACATTCCAGTCCCGCGGGGCTGCAGGCCACTCAGATGAGGCCACCGATGTAGACCACGAGGTGGGGGCCATGCTGGGGGCACCCCTCCCACAGAGCGCTTGTCCGACACCCTCGTCCCCCCTCAGAGACTGGCTCGCAGGGCAGGTGGAGCTGGGGACATTGTACTCTTTTTGAAGATGGGAAACTGAGTCTCAGAAGGCGCCTGGGCTCACAGGGACAGGGACAGGTGGCAGGACGGAGCGAGGCTGGTTCTCCCGACTCCTTGCTGGACACCAGAGGAGCACAGGCAGCCCCAGAACATGCTGCAGCTGAGTCCCAGCAGGACACCCCCCTGCTCCCAGGTCCCCTCCCTGCTGTCCCTTCAGGCTCCGGGGACGGGAAGCACTTACTGCAGGACCCTCAGGTGCCGGGGCAGTCCCTCAGCCAGCCCCAGGGCAGTGGGGTCCCCCAGCGCATTGAAGCCAAGCCTGAAAGAGGAGAGGGCACGCTGAGCCTGGATGACCCCAGGACCCCTGTGGCCCCTCGGGGACAGGAGGGCCTGGGGACTTGGGGGACATCCCACCAGGGCGCACTTACCCCAGCTCCTCCAGCTTCCTGCAAAGAGCGAGGGACTTGGCCAGCTGCGCTCCCCCAGCCAGGCCGATGCCATTCGCTGAGAGGCTGTAGGAGGGGACAGCCATCAGATCCGACTCTCCTCCCACACCCCACCCATCTGCAGGGCCACGGGGACACCCTACAGCAGGAGGTCACCGTCCCACTGCCCTGACACTGAGGCGGGGGAGGGAGATCTCAGTGCTGGCTGGAACCAGGGGCTGGTGTCTCCTGGGAGCAGGGGTGAGGACCGAGGGCCCCCTCCTCTCACAGGGCTGGCCACTCACTCTATCTTCCTGAGCTCAGGCAACTTGGGGAGGATGGCGGCTAAGTGCCCGGCACCGGCATCTCCGATGGCGTTGTGGCTCAAGCTTGGGGAGAGAATGACATGACCATCAAACCCACTGGCCTTCCACCCCCTCATCTTGCCCATACCCACCTCTAGAACAGGAGCAGAGAGAGGCCTGGGCTCACCCCGGGGCAGCCCTGTCACCGTGGGTGCAAGAGGGCTCCCAACTTTTGGCTTCTGTTTAAGATGTTCTCCCTGTTGTCTGACCTACATCCCTCTTGCTGCCATTGATTCTCTTACATCCTGTCTTAGGGTCTCAACAGTTCTCGGCCGGGCGTTGGCGAGGCAGTGTGAAGGCGCCAGGAGGGGAGACGACTAAGAAGCCGAGAACTTCCTGGAGCAGCCCTTGTGCTGTCTCCCCTGCCAACGTCATCAGGTCTGGGGAAGGGGACAGGCCACTCACCCCAACTCCTCCAAGCTTGCGGCAGCTCTGAGTGCTTCAGAAAGGTGGCAGCAGCCGACGTCACCAATGCTGTTCCCGCTCAGTCTAGAGGAGCAGGGGACAGGCCAAGAGACCTTAGAAAAGAGCCTAAAGGCCTTCGCAGGGGCTGCACTCAGGACTCTACAGTTTGCAAAACCTATATACACCCAGGGGCTCGTGGACCACTCACAAAACTCCTGGGGAGGGTGGTGACTGGAATGGGCATGAATGTCCCCAACATCCAGGTGAGAACCAAGGCCTAGAGGTGAGCCAGACTGGCCAGGCTCCAGTGGCTAGCAGGCAGGGTGGACTGTGTTCAGCTTTGCCGGGTCAGGGGCTCTGGGCCGGCCTGGCTGAAGCCAGCTCCATGTGGTTCTAGAGTCCAGGCCCCCGGCTCCAGGGGACAGTGCTCCCCTCCTGCCAGTGGCGGCCTTCCCCACTGGGGCCTTGCCCTCTCTGCAGCCTGACCCCCGTCTCTGTGCCTGGGGAGAACACACCTAAAGGAAGGGCCCGGGCAACTGTCTCACCCCCTGCGAAGGATCTGCCTGAAGGTGGTTTTCTTGTCTTTTGCAAATTAAAATTTACTGAAGTGTCTTTCAGTGAGTTTATTTTGGGTGGAATGACCCGGAATGTCCTGCACGCTGCCCTCCTGGTCCTGTGCACCCCCCCACCCCTGCTCTACCTCATGGCCTATTTCTCTGCCCTGCTGGAGGAGGGGCAGGGCTCGGGATAAACCAAAGCCAGGCTTTGTGCTGTTGCTTTGATCTGAGGCCCCATATTTCCTATTTTGAAAAACCACATCAAGAGGGTGCTATTTAACTGGGCGCGATGGCGCGTGCCTGTAATCGCAGTGGCTCGGGAGGCTGAGGCAGGAGGATCGCGAGTTCAGAGCCAGCCTCAGCAAAAGCCAAGCGCTAAGCAACTCAGGGAGACCCTGTCTCTAAATAAAATACAAAATAGGGCTGGGGTGTGGACAGTGGCCGAATGCCCCTGAGTTCAGTCCCCGGTATTTGTTTATCAAGGTGGGCAGGGAGTGGAGACCACAGGGAGAGGATATGGAGGCCACCAGGTCGGAGTTCAGACCCTTAACTTCTCAGAACTGCGTCCCCTGGAACGTGCTGGAAACACAGAAGCTGGGCACTCGCTGTGGGGCCTGGACTGGCATTTTAATAAGAGCCCAAGGAGAAGCAGGGGCACGTGAAAGGATGTGTAGGGACCTGGACTCAGCTCCTCCAGGTCACTTTTGTCACCAGGAGGAAACTGGTGACACCAAGAGGCAAGAGTGGTGGGCATCAACCTAGGAGGGCACAGAGATGTCCCCAGAGGGAGCCACAGAGGGACCTCAGGGAGGTGCCCAGCGCTTCCCGGGTCCACGTCCCAGTAGAGCCAGGGAGTGTGACTTCCCGCTCATCCCTGTGGCCACTCACCGGAGGCTCTGCAGGAGGGTCATGTGGCTGAGTCCCTGGGTGAGCATGGCCAGGGTGGAGCCACCCAGCAGCAGCTGACTGAGGCTGGAAGAGAGGAGGCCACATGAACTTGGCGGTGTGGTGTGGGGTCCAGGCCAGGCAGTCGAGGCCTCTGGACTTAGGGTGACCACCTAGATAGCCACTTACACCTACTGTATGAAGAGTCCCCCCCCCACCCCCGGGCAACCTAACCGCTGTTTGCTGCATGAGTGACGGGGGCCCCACAGGTTGCAGTCTGCGTTCTGGACCCCATGGGACCCAGACTGACGGAAAGCAGTAATGGGGACCGTGCGTCGAGTAGATAATAGGAATCAAGCACTGGGCTGGGGCCTTCGGTCATCTCTGCTTTACAGATGAGGAGCCCTGAGGCTCAGAGAGGTAGAACCTGCTCCGAGTTCCACCCAGAGCACAGCAGCGTCCAGAACTGAAGCCAAGTCTGCAGGATTTCCAAGGCTGGGCCCCCTGGGATCACCCAGCCTGGGCAGAGGGGACAGTAGCAACAGTTCTTACTAACGACACCGTGCAGCCTCTGTCTGAAGCTCCTACTGTGTATTATTTAATCCTCACAATAACCCCAGGAAGATGGGACTGCTTTTATCCTCAAAATTGAGAAAATACGCTAAGGCTCAGAGAGGTTTAGGGACTTGCACAAGCTCACACAGTAAGAGGTGGACGAAAACAGGAGGCGATCCACTGTCCTGGTTTGCCTAGAACTGAGGGTTTTCCAGGACTGGCAACTTTCAGCACTAAAGCTGGGACAGCCCTGGCAAACCAGGATAGTTGACCACCCTGCCAAGAGCTGACCCCCAGCTGGTGTGGTGGCTCCTAACCATCCTGATGCAGGGGGACAGCTGGAAGAAGCCAGCTGGACTTCAGGAGAGCTTCCCATGGAAAGAGACACTCAAAAAGGACAGATCTGGAATTCAAAGAGGCCCCTGGTCACTGAGGATTGATTTCTTGTTTTACAAAAGGAAAGACATCAAGTATATGTGGCTCCCTCCTGGGGACATAGTTTTGATGAGCCCACTTCAAAGGTAGGGTAACTGAGGCCACAAAGGGGAAACAGCAGCACAGGTGCCAGGGAAATCAGAAGAGGCAAGGTGCCCAGGTCAGGGCACAGGACTGAGTGCTTCTGGGACCCCCAGCTGCTAGCCCTGGCCCAGGTGCCTGTCAATCTTTATCAGATGGATCAGTGAGTTCGTGAATGACCTCGTGGGGCCTCTCACTCCTAAATAAAAACTTCCGGAAAGCCAAGGAGAAACATGGGCACATGGGGGGGCTCTGTGAAGACAGTGGCCCTGTGGTCCCAGGCTTCTCTAGCCCCCGCCCCTCCCCAGGGCAAGCAGAGGAGCCAAACGGAGGATCTCATTGCTATGGCCAAAAGTCAAAGGCTACTTTTTAAACTGCACTGAGAATATATGTTGAGAAGAAACCGGAGAAAAAGTCACAAATGGATTGTTCCCGGAAGTTTTCTCGAGGGAGTCGCGTCTCCTGGGGACTTGGTGTCCTTTGTTACTGATTTCCATCAGGATGGAACTTTTTATAACCAGGAGATATTTTTGGTCATCAGAAAAACTTTTGAGAGATTAAAAGCAGGAAATGCCGATGATTTTTTCCCCCCTGGATGCTGTCTGAACAGGAATCTCTGTGCAGTGAGGCTTCTTTTAGGCTGGTTTGTGACCCGCATCTGGCCACTGAGAACCGTTTGTATTTAGAGCTTCAGCGATTGGTTGAGGAGTGAGTGTGTGGCTGAAGCCAGTCGAGTGAGACTCAGTTAGGCCTTTTGTTATGACCATAAGGGGAAAGGTGCTCTCTCTCCACTAAACTGGGAGAAAATAAGCCAGTAGCCGTGGGACAGCCCACCTGAGAAGCAAGCTGAGTGGGGTGGGGGAGAGAGATCTGACCAGCAGCCAGCGCCTGGATCCAGCCATGCCTGAAGTCAATTGCCTTGGGATTTTCCATGACATAAGCCAATAAATAACCTCCTGGTTTGAGTTTCCTGAGACCAATCACCTTGATGATCGAGTCCAGAAAAAATCAAAAGATCTTGGGAAAGCATTTAGCTCCCCCGGGGCCATCAGAGACTTGCCAGTGTGTGCCCACAAGAGATATCAGGGTTCCTAGGCACGCTCCCTCTCCCTGCCCACCCACCGCTCGCTCTGGCTCCCCATTACTCACCACCGCCACTTACTCGAGTCTCCTCAGCCTGCACTTCCCCTGCAGGGCCCCCATCAGTGTCCTGGTGCCCTCCTCACTGAGCCAGGTGTTGGAGAAGCTGGACCAAGCACAGACACAGTTAGGTGGGCCACCCGGCCTGGAGCTGAGCCACCCCTCTGCCCCCGACCCGCAGGCTCCCGCAGATCCCAGACGGCCTCCAGCTCTAGGGTCCTCGTGGCGGCACTGCTTGCCCTGCTGTGAAAGGACACCAGGGACAAGGCCTACCAGTGACACTCTGTAGGTCAGTGGCAATGCTGAGACCAAGAACACAGTGCCCAGCCTTGCCTGGCCACGCTCGGAACGGCTGGACTTCAGCAGGAGGACAGTCGTAGGTGGCAGCCCGTGTCCACCTACCTAAGGCCCCACTGTCCTGTCCACCCCGTGCCTTCCCGGGACCAGCCCCTCCCTGGCCACTCCACCCCGAGACTCACTCCAGCTCCTCCAGGTGGTGGCAGTGGCCCAGGCCAGCCGCCAGGTGGACAAGGCTCTCGGAGCTCACGCAGCTGGAGGTCAGCCTGGGGGGATCAGGGGGCAGCAAGTCAGGCAGGAGCCCTGCGTCTCAGGAGCCCCTGAGGCTGGCAGCAGAGGGTGGGGATGTGGCTCCTGGGGACAGGGTGTGGGGACCTCCTTGTCTTTCAAAACCTCTCCCATGTGGACTTATTAAGCCAAGATATAGCTGGAGGCAGGTGCCTGGGCCATCTCCTAACCACAACTGCGACTCACAAGACGCCATGGTTGGGCTGCTGTCTCTCTCTGCTTTGCGATTTTCAGCCACTATGTGGGCGGGGCCACGGACCGCCGTGGGAGGGGCCAAGGGCCTCTGTGGGCGGGACCAAGGGCCTATGTGGGCGGGGCCAAGGACCACCGTGGGCGGGGCCAAGGACCACCGTGGGCGGGGCCAAGGACCACCGTGGGCGGGGCCGAGGGCCTCTGTGGGCGGGGCCGAGGGCCTGTGGCTTCAGAGCTTCTCTTCATGAGGCAACGGGTTGGACTGAACGTTAGAAAAGCTTCCTTTTGCAACTGTCATACTGATCCAGTGAGGCTTGCCAACAAGGGACAGACTGAGGAAGCAGACATTTACATCGTCATTTTTTTTTTTTTTGGTCCTAGGAAAGGAACCCAGGATGCCTAACCACTCAACCACATCCCCAGCACCATTTTATTTTTTATTTAGAGACAGGGTCTGGCTAAGTTGCTCAGGGCCTCACTAAGTTGCTGAGGCTGAACTGGCCGTCCTCCTGCCTCAGCCTCCTGAGCCGCTGGGATGACAGGTGTGGGTCGTCTGGCCACTTTTTACTAGTTTGCAATTATTTCAAAAGAAAAATGACACCAGAGCTTGGGAAAGGAATAACTCTGTCACTAAGAAAGCTCTTTCTTGTCTATGACCCTGGGCCCTCAGCATCTTCTCTAGGACCCTGTGCCACCTGCCCACTGGGCGGAACACAGAATCCCCTAGGCCCAGGGCTGGGGGGACAGGAAGTGCTGGGTGGGGCCGAGCGGCAGGGGCAGGGGGAGTCTTATCTGCACACCGGAAGCTCCTCAGCTCCGAGAGGGCCAGCAGGAGGCGCTGCAGCAGGCCGCTGGCATCGCTGGTGTCAGGGAGGTTAACCTGGGACAAGCTGAAGAGACCAAGGACATGCTAGAGGACTGCAGGCTGGACGCATCTCGGGGTCCTCCACGCAGAAGGGGAGGCCAGGAGAGGGGAAGGACCACCCGAGCTCCCTGTGCCGCCCCGGGCTCTCCCTGTACGAGTCCCTCTGGCAAAGAGGAGCCAGAAGGCCAGTGTCACCGATGGCCTGGGGCAGGTCCCGGCTCAACCAAGACCTCAGGCCTCGACCTGCGTTGCTGGGTACCCACCTGAGCAGCCGCAGCCTGGCACATGTCTCCATCAGCCGTGCGACAAGAAGGCTGTGATGGGTCCCCAGGTCACAGTGAGCCAACCTGGAGGCAGACGGAGAGGTGGTAGGAAATGAACACCTGCTCCAGATGGAGGATTCAGCCTCCTTCTTCATGGAGCGCATGGCAGAGGGGAACGTCGCACAGTTTGTCCAGTTATGCACAGTGCTGAGAGGCGGGGTCCAGGTGCACCCGCTGGTATGGCTGTGCAGGTTGCTCACTGAACAAGGGAGTGCGCCCGGCCAAGGAGGCCAGGGGGGGCTGAGATTCAGCCGCACTCTATTCCCCAGAATGTATCCATGTGGGGCCGCATCCACTCAAAAATGGTGACGTTTTAATTATCAAAAATGTGCTGTGGCTCTAGGTCTCTGAGAGTAGGTAATGGGAGAACTTGACGCTCTTGGGGACCTGGGAGCCTCAGGAAACAGTCTGTGCAAAGACCCTGAGGTCCAAGAGAGCACAGTGGTGTTCGAGGAACTCAGGGCCGATGGAGGTGCCTGCAGCTGGGAACAGGTTTGGGGTGCAGAAGGGGAACACAGGCAGGAGGCTTCGGGGGCTGGGCAAAGACGGGATGTCAGAGGGCTCTGAGCCCAGCCACGAGGAATCTTGGTCGGGACAGCCGTGCACCCGCTCCCCGCCACCACCTACTCCCCGGGGCCCCAGGCGCTGGGTCCCACCTGAAGGCCACAGCCTCTGGGTTCTCTTCCTGACGAGGGAAGTCCAGCTGGACACAGAGCCGCTGCTGGGTCTCAGAGATGCTGCCGGGGGCACGAGGAGCCAGGGTGAGGCTTGTGGCAGCTTCCCCGGGAGGCTGAGCCGGGGCCGGGGGCTGCCAGGCCTCCCCAGAGCCCTGGACCCCTTGACCCAGATGGGGGTCAGAAAGCAGTTCCTGCCCTGAGTCCCAGACACCGAGAGCGAAGCCTTCACAGCGATTTTAAGTGACTGATAGAGGCTTTTCAGACCACGACGAGAGCCTTTTCAGGTATGCAGGGCAGTTCCAGAATTTTCCAAGGAAGGTCAGGGGCCACAGCAAGGTAGAAGGACGGGGCAGGGGACCTATCTGCAGGTGGCATCTGTACCCTTGAGCTCACGGGCTTTGCCTGAATATTAGGTCAGGCCTCCCAGGCGGCAGGTGCCACGAGACCCCACTTTTTGGAGTGGGAGGTTGGGGCCACAGAGTCACAGAACAGGCTCAGAGCAGTGGACACCCAGCTGGGATCCGAGGACACAGGACCGAAGCCCTTGCTCTCAGCCGCCACGTGTCCCTCTGTTATCTCTGGTCACAGAGCAACACCCAGGGCTGCTTCCAGTGACCAGTCTGGGCTCCCAGCCACGCCTGCTCGCCTCCTTGCTTTCCTGCGTCTGACCCTGTGGCTTGACTTTCGCACAATCCCAGCAGATGGTGTGGCCCTCATGGAGGTCACTGGAACCCCTTTGCAATCTCAGGGGACACAGAGAACTTGCCCGTGACCCAGCTATACCCCACCCAGATCAGTGTCTCAAAGAAATCAATGTCTCCACGACGGTTGGTCAAAAGAGGGTCCCAAGGGTCACGGAGAGAAGAAGAAACCAAGGGGACTCCTCCCCAGACTCACCTTATTTCAATGACGTTGCCCGAGGCCTGGGCACAGGCTTCCAGCAGGGCGGGCACCCCGGCTCTGCCCACCCATGGCTCCTCCACCCTGTCACAGAGGGGGACACTCAGATAAGGTCCCCCAGGGCAAGCAGCAGCTAATCTGCACTCTGGGTGGGGGAGGGGGACCAGGAGGGGGAGGAGGCTTTTTAGTTGGGGGCTTATTTTAAAACTATAAAATTATACAATTAGGCAGAAGCATAAAACGGAAATAAACATCACCCTGGTGCCAGCAATCATTCTGCAGCAATGCCAACCAAATATGTTATTTTTTTAAAAAAAGATCCATATAATGTTAACATGACAAAGACAGGAAAACCACGCTGTGACCCTAACTTTGCATTTAAAGAGGAAAAAATACACAGAGAGAAAGAGGGAGATGGGGGATATGAGGAAAATACATTAAATATTTGTTCATTTGGTCGAATTTTATTATCTTTAGTTTTCTATATTTTATGACTTTTTTTCAGTACAGGGGACTGAACCCTGGGGGCTCCACTACTAAGCTACATCCCCAACACCCCCCACTAAGATGTTGAGGCTGGCCTCAAATTTGAGATCTTCCTGCCTCAGCCTCCCAAGTCACTAGGATTACAGGTGTGCACCTCCACTTCCGGCTATATTTTATAAACTTTTTTGCAATGTGCATTAATTTAGAAGCAGGGAAAAGAGAGTGATTTAAAATATTCTTCCTTTATAGTTATGTTACATTTAAAAAAAACCCACTATTTTCTTCTTTATGCTCTTCTGGATTTTCCACAAATTTCTACAACGAGTACATATTATTTTTAGGCTTAGAAAAGTTTTATTTTAAAATGTTATTTTGGGAGATCCAAAAATTCCAAGTGTATGCCCAAAAGGATTGAAAAGAGGGACATGAAGACATTTTTGAATACATGTTCATAACACCATCATTTATAAGGCCAATAGGTAGAAGCAACCTAAGGTCCCTCGGTAGATGAATGTATGAACAAATTGTGGTCTATCCGTACAGTGGAATAGTATTCAGCCTTAAAAAAGGAAGGAGTTCTGACACAGGCTACCCCAAGGCAGAACCTTGAGCACATTATGCTATCTGAAGTAAGCCAGGGACAAAAAGTCAAATATGGTCTGATTCCACTTAGCAGAGGTCCCTCGAGTAGTCGTATGCATAGACAGCAAACAGAATGGAGGCTTCCGGGGCTGGGGGAAATGTAAGCAGGAATTATTTATTATTTATTGGGTACAGGGTTTCAGTTTTGCAAAATGAAAAGAATTCTGGAGATCAACTGCCGAATGCACTTGACATTACTGGACTGTCCACTTAAAAATGGTTGCGATGGTACGTTTGGGACTGGAGTTGTGGCTCAGTAGCAGAGGGTTTGCCTAATATGCATGAAGCCTCAAGTTCAAGCCCCAGTACTGCTGGGGGGAGGGGGGTGGTAAAAAAGGCAGATTTTGTGATGTATATTTTATTACACTTTTAAAAAAATGTGGTCTGGGGACAGCTGGATCTCCCATGTCCTGTCATGGGCTGCGATGACCGTGCTGTCCATGAAGTCAGAGACGTGATCTCATCTCTGGAGCCTTTCATCTAACTTCTAGCTGACAGGATGGTCGGGGGTTAGGGGGACCATCTCCATGGCATCAGGAGAAGGCGACCAGACAGAGCTAGAGGGTGGCAGTCTGCAGCACAGAGGCCACAACTGAAAAACCAGAAGTCAGCTGCCCCCATGCAAATGTGGACCTTGTATGGGTCCTGGATCCAACAACCAGCTGTCTCGTTGGGGGACAATGGGGGTGATTTCAGATTAGACCAGGAATCGCTACTGAGTTTCTTAGGTGTCCTGATTGAACTGTGATTGTGTAGAAAACGTCCTTACTTCTTAGAGATTTGTGGTGAAATATTTAGGAAGGATAGTTTATGAAGTCTATATTTTAAAATACTTGAATCAAAAAATAAGAATATGAACTGAATATGGAAAAATATCAACAATTGTTTCACCTAGGTAACAGGATAAAAGTTCTTAAAAATTATTTTCTCTAACCAGGTACAATGGTACATAGCTATAATCCAGCTACTTGGGGAGGCTGAGACAGGAGGCTCAGAAGTTTGAGGCAGCCTCAGCAACTTCGTGAGACCCTGTCTCAAAATAAATGAAAGGCTTGGGAGGCTGAGGCAGGAGGATCCCGAGTTCAAAGCCAGCCTCAACAACTTAGCAAGGCCCTAAGCAACTCAGCAAGACCCTTTAATATTTATATTTAAATAAAATATTAAAAAGGCTGGGGACGTGGCTCAGTGGTAGATCACCTGCCTAGCAGGTGTGAGCCCCTGGGTTTAATTCCTAGTACCTCAAAAACAAAACCTCTTTGCTTTTTGGTATGTTATTTTTCGGATTTTTTAAAAAACACTTTTCTAGTTGTAGATGGGCACAATACCTTTATGTTACTTATTTATCTTTATGTGGTGCTGGGGATCGAACCCAGCGCCTCACACATGCGAGGCGAGGCTCTGCCACTGAGCCACGCCCAGCCCCTGGGTGTCTTTAAACGATGTGGCTCTATAAGCGTACTGATTTTAACCCTTGGTTGGGAGTCCTTTGGGACTTTCATTTCTTAAACCCCAAAGCATGAGCCCCACCCTGGGGAGGGACAGCTTCTCTGTGTGCCCAGGGGCGACTCTGGGACAGATGGGTCCAGTGCAGGGTGTGGGTGCGGGACAGGGCCAGGGCCATGGTCCTGGGCCCCCTGGGGAGGGCGGGAGGTACCTGAGGCAGAGTGGCCCTGCGGGGGGCCTCATCAGGCTCAGAAGGAGGGCCAGCTGCTCCAGGCCCAAGCCGCACCGGGTCAGCCTGGGGACAGAGGGTGGTCACTGGCGTGGCTCTGGCCGGGCGCCCCACCTCGTAGCTGTCCCAGGGGCTGGCCTGGTCACTCACGTGATCTCTGTCAGCCGGAGGGCCTGGCTCAGGCTGGTGGCCAGTCTGGGCACATGCTCGGGCCCAAAGCTGCACTCGCTGAGTCTGGGGCAGAGGGTAGGGCAAGGCCTGGTGGGCGTGGGGCGTGGCTCTGCTTCCCCCCAGTCCTCCAGGGACCCCGCAGGGGAGCCCCACGGAGGCCAAGGGCCTGGGCCAGCCTGCGGAGGGCTAGGGACAGCGTCAGCTTTGGGCGCTGCCTGTCTCTGATGGAGGACCCCCTCCCCCCAGCAGTGTTAAAGTGAGTCACTTGGGGGACCCTGGCTCCGGCCAGGCACCGGGCAGGCCTCCGGGTGCCCAGGGACCGGCCTCACGTGCACTGCCCCCCAATCCCCACAGCGTGGGTACAGGCAGGGCCTCCCCCGCTGCAGGAGGCCAGGAGCAGCCGCTTCCGTCCAGCCCAGCGTGGCCCTGCCCTCCGGCTCATCAGAGGCCCGGGAGAGGAGGCAGGCCAGGCGGGACCCTCCTGGACAGGCGGCCACTCACCCAGACCCTCAGCTGAAAAGGGGCAGCACAGGGCCGCCCCCTCGGGGGGACAGGGCCACTGGCTATTGCTCGGGGGCTTCCAGGAGGGCCTGGCCTCTGGGCTGGACTTCAGGGCTCTGAGAATTTTCTCTCAGAAGCAGCAGGGAAGAGGCTGCAGGCTGCGGGCCCAGGTGAGCAGAGGTCGGGTGTGCACACCCACAGAGCAAAGGCCCTGAGGCCACAGTGTGTGTGAGTGTGTGTGTGAGTGAGTGTGAGCGTGTGTGTGAGTATGAGTGTGTGTGAGTGTGTGTGACTGTGAGCGTGTGGGTGTGAGCGTGTGGGTGTGAGTATGCGTGAGTGTGTGTGAGAGTGAGCGTGTGTGTGTGAGTGTGAGTGTGTGTGACTGAGTGTGGGTGTGTGTGAGTATGTGGGGTGCTGGGGGAGGGCATGGTGGGAGGTGCTCAGATTGAGGAACAAGATGAGGCAGGGCCTTTGGGTCATACTTGGGCCACGGAGCCACACCCTAACTGTAAGTCTTGAGGTTTCTGGGGTCGAGATTCTGGAAACATCTGAGAATAAATCCAAGTCTGGTCACTTCCCAGCTGTGTGAGCCTGGACAGGTTACTGAACCTCTCTGTGTTTTAATTCCTCATCTGTACAATAAGGGATTGGAGGACAACCTACCCCTCAGGGTTATTGTATTAAATGAGTTAATGTGTATAAAGTGTTCGGAAAGGCCTGGCTGGCTGGGGAGATATATCGGCTATCATCATCATCATCATCATCATCATCATCCCCTGAGGGCCCTGGGCTCTGTCTCTCTCAGCCTCACCATCATGTCCTTGGGCCAGTTCCTCTATATGTCTCACTTCAGCTATAAACACGACTTCCAAATGGGTCCTCTTGCCTCTGGCCAGGCCTCCTCCAACCCATTCACCCACAGTGCTAGGGGGGTCTTCTCTCTCTCTCTTTCACACACACACACACACACACACACACACACACACACACCCGGCCATGCCACTCTACTGCTCTAGACTCCTCAGTGGCTCCCCATTGCCCCAATATAGAGTTCAGACTGGAGGTGTGGGGAGTCCGTGGCAGATGTGGGGACCAAGCCCAGGCAGAGAGCTTGAGGCAGACTGAGGAGGAGAGGCCTCAGTGGAGGAGGCTTGGAGGCCACCACCGGCCAGACCCCACGGCACTGCCCCCGGGGTTACCTAAGTGTGGTCTGCAGGGTCTCCCCCGGCTTGGAGAAGTGAATCCAGAAATCCTGCGCGCAGCCCAGGCTGCAGGGAGAGAGGACAGGAAGCACGTGGCACAGGGTGCCCAGGGGACTCAGAGAGGGAAGGGGACACCCACAGGGACAAGGTGGAGAAGCCACAGGTGGAAGGACCCTGGCCAACTGGAGGAGATGGTCATCCTCAGGATGGACCCGGCCTTCCCCGTCCCCACGAGCCCAGATCCCCGTGGCACCGGGAGTCAGGGGCTGGAAGCTGTGATCCCCTGAGCAGAGAGCGGCAGAGGCCCGAGGGGCTGCCGAGCTCGGGGTGCTGCGTCCTGTCGCCTTACTTCACGGAGGCCTCCCGGACCCGCGGGCGGGAGGGCAGGGTCTCCAGCAGCTGCCACACGCCTTCCCGCGAAATGCCGTTGAGGCTCAGGCTAGGGGGGAAAGGAGGCTCAGGATGGCGCCTGCCAGCCCCTCACCCCCCAGCTGTCACTGCAGAAGAGGCTGAGTGTCCAGGCCGGGGCGCTGGGGAGAGAGGACCAGGAGGGACACTTCCACGCCCAGGAGGAACGGCACCAGGCCCCGAGTCCCTGCGAGCTGCACCCGGCCACTGCCCCTGTGGCCTGCACAGGGCGGTGAAAGACCCCACGGGCAGCCCCACCCTCCGGGGCAGGGACAGGGAGGACCAGGGCGCAAAGCTCTGTTGCCTAGCAACAGGTCAGAGCCTGGTGGAGGTGGGGCAAGAGTGTGGATGGCTTCCTGGGGACCCTCCTCCTCCTGCGGGGACATCTCCAAATCTGTGTCCCCCAGAACTGCCCCTTCCCTCCGTCCCCGGGTTCCCCAGTGATGCCCTCTAGGGACGCGGCCATGCTCTGGCCCGGGAGCCTCCCTCTCCCCTGTCCTGAGCCTGCTCCCCACTTACTCGAGCGACCCCGAGATGGGCACCTGGGGCAGGTGTTCCAGAAGCCATCTGAGCCCATCGTCACCCAGCAGGTTCTCTGCGAGACTGCAAGGGGTCGGTCACAGGGGTGGGTGGTGGTCCCCGTGGCCACCGTGTCTACTGTCACTGCTACTCAATGTCACCACGCCATCCCTGGCACCACACCCGCAATATCACCACCGTCACCCTCACCCGGGATGCCCCCACACTGCCCGCCCCGCCCTCCCCGGCTCCCCAGCAGGCCCGCCCCAGGTGCCCCTCAGTATCTGGGGGCGCCCCAGGCCTGCGGGTCCAGGAGGCTCTCAGGAGTTCGAGAAAAGCCAGTTCACTTTCACCGGACCCCTGGCCTGTGTCGGAGCCATGATACATTCAGGGATCAGAGAAAGGTTGGGGCCTGCCCCTCTGGTTGGGTCACACGGGAAACCATGGGACAGGTTCCCATTCCCTGTCCTGGAGCCATCTGTGGTTTGAGCCACAGTTTCTGGATCAATGTCACCAGCTGGGTAACAGGGGCAGCCTCGGGGCCCAGGTCCTACAGCCCTTTCTGAAGGGCTCCCAGAAGTTGGTTCTGCCACGTGGGGACCGGGGATGGGAGAGAGAAAATGGCCCAGGGACGGTTTAGGGATGTCCCGGGAATCTTACGCCTCTCCTGACAGTGGATCCGAAGGTGTAGGTGGCCCGTGGGAGTCATGCCCACACGCGCCAGCACCCCAGCCCCACCCAGGCACGAGTCCCGCCCCTCCCCTGACTCACTCCAGTTGGCTGAGGTTGTCACACTTGCTCAGCAAACAGCACAGGGGCTCCACGTGCTCCAGGCTCAGGCTGCAGCTCCGGAACCTGGGGGGTAAGGGAGGACATCAAGAGGGGACCAGGCAGTCAGCTCTGGGACCACTCCATCCTGGCTAGACCTGGGCGTGGCCTCTGGGCTCCACCTTGGATCTTCAGAAACTACCCAGCACACCCCGATCCCACCCCCCACAGGGCTCCACCGGGCACCCAGGTTGGTGTTGCTGGAGATCAAACCCAGGGCCCCTGCCCGCTGGGCACGACTCCACCACCGAGGCGCACGCCCAGGCCCCGGTTCTGCACTTCCTCACCTCCTGCAGAAAAGCTGCCTGCCACTGAGGTAGGAGCCCATGCAGATGGCTGGGTGCCCATCCTGGCCCTGGCCCTTACTGCTCTGTGACCACAGCTGGCAGCTGCTAAGCGTAAGTGTGTGCAAGGTTCTTAAAATGGTTCAGTAACAGAGAACTGGCAGCTGCTTTTGCTCAAAGCACTGACTCTTCGTCAGCGCCGGCAGGTGCCCAGGGGATCCCTAACGGCATCTCTGCTGCGTTTTGTGTCTGTCTCCTTTATTAACTCGGGACCAGGTCCCTGCTCCCCTCTGGTGGGCACGTTGATCCTGTAAGCAGCGTGACGTGGGTTAACTAGCCCTAGATTCCCATGACCTATCCATCCCCTTTAAGACTGAGGACAGCGAGATAAGAGCCACGGAACTGTTCTCAAGGGTTGCCAGAGCCTTGGAGGGCACCTAGAAGAACTGCAGTCACCTCGGATTCCAGAAAAGCAGAGCCTCCTGGACAGAATACTGTGCCCCACCCCCCTGAGGTCACCTCCATGCCAGTAACTGAGGCTGGAAGCAGGAGCCACCATCTCATGAGAAATGGATTGTCCCTCAAGTGATAAGGACATCTCCAGAGCGACCTTGCAGACAGTGACCAACCAGGGCTGGCCTGACCAAGAGGACCGACTCCACCAGCTGCGGGAACCCCAGCCATAGATGTCCCCACCCCTGCCCTCGCTCCCCTGTTCTCTAAAACCTCCAAGTTCCCGTCAGTCCCTTGAAGACACATCTTTGGTCACTCTACCCCACATCTGCTCTTCCCGGCATGCCCACGCTGATTCAGATCCCTTTCCTGTCCTTCCCCGCTGTGCAGCTCATTGATGGGCACATTGGCAGAGGTGGCAGAGATGGACAACCAGAGGGATGGGTCCAAGTCTCACAGGAGAGCTGGTGACAGCTGGTGACATTGAATAGTTTCTAGAAACATCGTCTCTGCATTCAGAGGTTGCCCTCTCTCTCTCTCTCTCTCTCTCTCTCTTTTTTTGGTACTGGGGATTGAACTCAGGGGCACTTGACCACTGAGCACCGTCCCCAGCCCTGTTTTGTATTTGATTTAGAGTCAGGGTCTCACTGAGTTGCTGAGTGCCTCACTTTTGCTGAGGCTGGCTTTGAACTCTAGATCCTCCTGCCTCAGCCTCCTGAGCAGCTGGGATTACAGGCGTGTGTCACCATGCCCGGCCAGAGGGTCCCCTCTTGCTCCGGGTTCTGCTTTCATGCAACACCTTCCTCCTTCTCCCCTGGGGCCCACCGAGCCTGGCTGGGTTCAGCAGGGGAAGGACCCTAAGGTCTGTGGGTGCGGCCGCCTTGGGCATGGCTTCATTCGGCTCACAAACCCCGCAGCACGGTGGCTCAGAATCGGAGGGCCGGGAACTGAGGGCTCGCCCAGGTGCCAGGCCTCGGTGGAGCCGGGCTTGGGCAGCTGGCCAGCAGGTGGTGACGCCCCTCCCCGCAGCGCCAGCCCCTGTGTTCTGGCTGGGCGGGCGCAGACCCCTTGCCTCCCTTTGCAGGCTCTCAGCTCTCTCTGGACCTCCACTTCTTCATGTCGGGTGCAGCGAGTCTCCCTGCAGGGTCCTTCCGGTCTGTACTCTGTCTGACCACGCAAGAGGCCAGTCTACTGTCCCCAAAGCCCCCCGGTCTGGAACACGGTTAGGGGCACTTACCCACAGCACACGCCTTCCTTGTCCTCGCTAGGTCTGAAGTGCAGGGTGGCGTGAGTCAGGGACCTGGAGCAGACAGCACCCGGCTCAGCCACCCACGGCCACAGGGTGCTCCCAGGGGACAGGCATCCCTCCTCAGAGGCACAGCCTGTGACGGGGTCCCACTGCCTTCGTCCTGTCCCTCGTACCCACAGACTCCAGGCCCAACCCTCTGAGCCTAGCCTGGTCGTTCCAGGACAATGCCCACCTGAGGTCCACCTTCTGAACCCGTGGGCACAGGCTGAAGACGTCGGCCAGCAGCAAGGGGCTTCTTGGGGACAGCCCCGTCGGGCTCAGCCTGAGAAGCAAAGGAACAGAAGCGAGATCATGGACGAGAAACCTGGATAGGTCGGAGGGCAGGAAAAGGGGGCAGTGGGGGGAGGGCTGTGCAGAGCCATGGGGAAGGGACTCGAGAGGGACAAGGGGCCTGGGAGGCCAGCAGGCTTGGATTTGCTGTGTGACCTTGAATAAGTTACTTGACCTCTCTAAGCCTCAGCTTCCTTATCTGGAAAAGAGAACTGGACAGTGGTCTATCTTCTTTTCTGGTGTTTGGGGGTGTGATTACACCCAGCAGGCATGACACTGGCCCCCCACCGTGTTTACTACTGTTGTAACACTACTGTTTGTGCCCATAACACAGACTTGACAGTGTGAGAAGCCTCAGGCCCTCGAGGGGAGTTTCTTTATGTGAACACAATATTGAGTTTTGAGCTCAATACTTCTTTGTTGTGGGGACCGTCCTGTGAGAGCTCTTGTTAGATGCCACTCCTAGCTGTGACAACCAGAAACACCTCCAATGCCCAATGTCTCCTGAGGGGGCAAAATCACTTCCACTTCCAAACCACCACCTTAGAGAAGTGCGAGGTCCGCCTTGCCTTGGAGGCATCCCCAGGTCCTCCATGACCCCCATCTCCTCCACTTTCTCTCCAACGAGTCTCCCTGCCCGCCTTGTTGCTCTCCCGCTTGACTCCGTCATGCCTCGGGGCTTCACACATGCTGTGCCCTCTGCCTGGAATGCAGTTCCTTGCTCTTCTTCACAAGGCAGGCTCCCTCTCCTACTTGAGGTTGCAGCTCAGGGTCCCCCCTAAGATATGTTCCCTGCCACTCTGCCATCTTCTAACTCAGCTGTCCAGTTGTCCACTCATTTACCATCAAGAAAAATCACCTTATCCCTGGCCACATTCGTCTTATTTGATTTGGCTCCTTGTGCGACAAGGCGAGCTCCAAGAATCAAGGACCTGCTCATTTTCTTTTTCCCTGATGTGTCTCCAGTGCCCCGAATAGTGCCCGGCTCACAGCAGATGCACAAACACCGCAGGTTGAGCAAAACAAAGTGTAAGCCCTGGTAAGGGTCGGGCTGGCCACAGACAGATGAGGAGTTGGGACCAAAGCTGTGTGACTTAGGCAAAGAAAAGCCCCTCTCTGGAGTGAGGATTCCCACCTGTTCATTTTAGCCTGCCTTATGATGAGTATAGGAGCCCTTCCCGACCCATTCTGTCCAGGCAGGTGGGGAGGACCACAGAGGGGCCGTGGGTCGGCTGTTGTGCAGCTGCGGGCCTCTGGATGCTGCCATGCCTCCCCTGTCCCCATAGGAGTGGACGATAAGCAAGACCCCAGAGGTGACGTGAGCCGTCCTAGGCGTCCCAGGCCCTCGGCCTTGGTATTCATGGTGCTGTTAACAATATTATGATTTAATTTCCTGTTGTATTTTCCATCTCAGCCGCAGCTGTTTCCCCCTCTGCTTGAAGAATATTGAAAGTAAATCCTTTTTAAATTCTAACCAGTCTGAGCTGAAATTAGAAAATAGAAATTTTAAATACTTTGGGAGAGGCTGCTTTAAAGCTTCACTGTGACGGAGCTAAGATGGTGACCTTTAAAAAAAGGGAGTGTGACATATATGTGGCCTGCACCTGTACCGGCCCTTCTTAGGAGCAGGTGACCTTCCTGTGGCCGGGAGAAGGACGGTAGTGCATTTTGAGGAACTGCTTGTGTGGGTCCCAACCTTGGGGAAGGGCAGGGGAACAGAAAACCCATTTGCCAGATGAGGAGCCTGAGACCCCCTGGGGACAAATAACTCCCCTGCTCTCAGGTTGACAGAGAGTTGGGGGACGTTGGAAGCAGGTTTGAGTGCCCAGCTGTGCCTGATGAAATCATGACCCCCCCCCCCAGGGCAGGAGGGAGGAGGAAGAGGAGGCGGCTTTGTAACAGAAGGGCCTTGGGACAGGGGCCCGGGAGCAGAAATGTGGGATCTTACTGCAGCAGGCGCAGCTGGGGGAGCCGCGGCAAGCAGTGCAACAAGGTCTCCAGGCTCTGGTCGCTCAGGGTCTCGCAGGATAATCTGCAAAAGAGCATCTGAGTGAGGAGGGGAACCTTCCAGGGAAGCAGGGAGCAGGGCCTCCCAGCCAGGACCTTCTGCAGATGGGGCTTAACCAGCGCTGCTTGAGACTCTTCCCCACAACACGGGGTCCTTGACTTAGTGCTGGGGCTGGAAGGTTGGAGACATCTGGAAAATACTGGGAGGAGCCAGACCCAACCCCCTCTGCACGCTGCACCACGAACTCCCGAGGGCTTTCCCCTCTACCCAGATGGGCGAGCAGGGCTGCCATCTGCGGGCACCTAGAGCGCCCGCTGCACCCCCGGTAGTGCGCGTGCCGCTTCAGTGGGCAGGGCAGGTCAGCAAGAGGAGGCGCGAGCCAGCCCGTCAGAGCCCACCTTCCTGCTCATCGCTCGTCTGGACACTGCAACAGGCCCCGCTGCACTCAGGAGACCTCCAGACACCCACCCGGGGTCTCTGCTCTCTCTGAGCACCCTGGGATTCACCTACGTCCTCTACTAGGGGGCAGGAGCCGCTTGTGGTCCTGCTTTCTCCCCTGTGGTCCCTGTGGTCTCAGGGCAGGCAGTGGGCAAGGCCTCCAGCATTCAGGTCATCCTTGTGTCCCCCAGAGCCTGGTCCTGAGCCTGGTAGACAGTTGGTGCTTGAGAGTTAAGTGCTCCAAGTGTGCTCCATGCTGTGTGGCAGCGTTGCTGCTCGAGAGAGCCTGGAAGCAGCCTGGATGCACTCTAGACTCTGGGGGGACCTGGAGCAGCACGCAGCACGGCCTCACGGCACAGGGTCAGTATCCAAAGACTTGGATACACAAACACTCTGAAGAGCACGTAGGAGACGATCGGGGGCAACTGGGTATCGATGGGATGTATGATGCTTTTTAAGGAATCACTGTTAGTATTTTAGGTCTGATAATGGCTATGTTAAAGCTCTGCACACTGGAATACACACAGATGAGTACGTAAGGTAATGGGAATTGATTCAAAATATAAGCTGGGCGCATTGGGACATCTGGGCCGAGCCACGATGCTCTGGTGCTGGCCTGTAACCCCAGAGGCTCGGGAGGCTGAGGCAGGAGGATTGTGAATTTAAAGCCAGCCTCAGCTCCTTAACAAGTCCCTAAGTAACTCAGTGAGACCCTGTCTCTAAACAAAAACCAAAAAAACAATACAAAGGGCTGGGGATGTGGCTCAGTGGTTAAGCGCCCCTGGATTCACTCCCCAGTACCAAAAGAGAAAAAAAGACCCCGAGTGAGTGTGTGAGCGGGTGGAGGTAGGTGGAGGCCACCTGAGTGTTCTTTACATTTCTATAGATGCTTCAAAGTCTCCATAATAAAATGCTGTTGAAATTAAAATGTGATTTTGCAGCGGGGAATCTAACCCAACCTTGGCCAGGTGATCAAGTCCCACATCAGCAGGGGTACGTCGAGGGCACCGGCCCTGAGAGGGTGTGTTGAGAGGGCATTTTGCCTCTGTGATGTTCTTCCCCTAAGCCCAGGTTAGCTAAGAGAAAAACAGAGAAACTCCAACCAAACGTCATTTCCCACAGCAGCTGACCAGTCCTCCTCAGAACCACCAAGAGCAGGAAAGACACAGACAGAACAGGAAACTGCCAGAGGCCAGAGAAGGCCGAGGAGCTTGGTGTCTAAATGCAACATGGGGGTCCCGAGTGGAATCCTGGGTCACAGCAAGAATGAGCATTGGTTAAAAAAAAAAAAAACTGGAATATTCAGAATAAAGCAGAAGTCAAGTTAATGGTCATGTGCCCAGGTTGGTTTCTTCACTGTGTTGGGTGGACTGTGGCCGTGTGAGATGTTAACAGCAAGGGAAACGGGTGCGGGGGATTCTCGTGGCAACATTTTTGTAAATCAAATCTGAAATTGGCACCAGGTGCGGTGGTGCACGTCCGTAATCCCAACAGTTTGGAAGGCTGAGGCAGGAGGACGGCGAGTTCAAAGCCAGCTTCAGCAACTTTGCAAGGCACTCAGCAACTCAGTGAGACCCTATCTCTAAGTAAAATACAAACAAGGGCTGGGGATGTGGCTCAGTGGTGAGTGCCCCTGAGATCAATCCCTGGTACCACCCCTCCCCCACCAAAAAAATCTGAAACTGTCCTAAAATAACTTGTTAAAAAATGAGCTGGTGGCTGGGGATGTGGCTCGGTGGTGGAGCACTTGCCTAGCATGCACTAGGCCCAGGGCTCCATCTGCGGTACAGGAAAAATAAAAAATCAATCAAACAAATAGAATCAAATCTGATCCACAGATCTTGATCTTCAGGGAAAACTATGTCAAACAATTGGGCGTTGCAGAAGGATCTTTCCTGCATGGTAAGATCCCTGACTGACAAATGAAGTAACCCCCTGCCTCAGTATCTGTATGTGTCTGAACACGGAGAAAGGTCTGGAAAGGACACGGGCCAGGAAGTCAACATGGATTACCTTGTTGGAAAGGCTGGGAGGGCATTTAAGATGAAACCAAAAGCAAGACGCAAGCAGAAAGTCCTGGTCCCGGACTGTAAATGTAGGTGAACACCCCAAATCCAAAAATCCGAAATCAAGAATGCTCCAAAATTGGAAACTTTTTGAGTGCCAGCTGACATGATGCCACGGGTAGACGATTCCACATCTGACCTCAGGTGAGGGGTTGCAGTCAGAAGCAGAGGCCCACTAGAAATGTCTGAAATTACCTTCAGGGCACGCGCATAAGGTGTATAGGAAACGGAAATGAACCTCCGTTTAGACTTGGGTCTCATCCCCAAGACATCTCACTATGTATATGCATAAATATCCCAAATCTGAAACAAAGTCCCAAATCTCAGACACTGCTGGTCCTGAGCATTTCAGTTACTGGATACTTAAGTAGGTAAAAACTGAATATGCAAATAAATGTGGCGAGAAGGGGGCGTGGCGGAGAAGGGGGCGTGGCGGAGAAGGGGGCGTGGCGGAGAAGGGGGCGTGGCGGAGAAGGGGGCGTGGCGGAGAAGGGGGCGGGGCGGAGAAGGGGGCGTGGCGGAGAAGGGGGCGTGGCGGAGAAGGGGGCGTGGCGGAGAAGGGGGCGTGGCGGAGAAGGGGGCGTGGCGGAGAAGGGGGCGTGGCGGAGAAGGGGGCGTGGCGGAGAAGGGGGCGTGGCGGAGAAGGGGGCGTGGCGGAGAAGGGGGCGTGGCGGAGAAGGGGGCGTGGCGGAGAAGGGGGCGTGGCGGAGAAGGGGGCGTGGCGGAGAAGGGGGCGTGGCGGAGAAGGGGGCGTGGACAAGCGACAACCTGGATTTGATCAGAGAAGGGGGCTGTGCAGGCCAGGCAGCTTGTCTAGACCCTTTAAGGTAATTATTGTAATACAAGGACAACGAGGACAACCGAAGGACAGGCTGACCATGGGCTTTGCAGGTGAGGAAGCTGAGGCCCAGGAGTTAAAGTCATTTGCCTAAAGTCACCAGCTTGTAGGTGGCTCAATCAAGATTCCTGGTTGCAAGTCCAGTCCCTGGTCACAGACCCAGGTGTTCGGGTGAAGGTGGTCCTGGGGGTGTGGAACTCCAAGGAAGGGCTTTTAGAGGTGACAACCTCCAGCCACATAGGCAGGCCCACGTGGGTGCCTGGGTGGGGACAGACAGGGCTCCCCGGTGTCCTGGGGTGAGTGGTGGGGAGTGGAAGGTCCTGCATGGCAGGTTCCGGTGGGAGAGGTGGTGTCCGAGGCTGGGGGCTACTGAGGACAACCAGTCTCCTACCAACAGGCCGGAGATCCCCCATGGGCGAGGGCTAGCGGGCCTGGCAGGGAGGGGCGGGAGAGACTCCTGTCTTCTAAACAGGAGCCCCTACCCCCACCCTGGTTACATGGGGCCCTCTGTGGCTGTGTCTTGTCACTTACTGCACTTCCAGTGGCCCTGGACACTGCTCCAGAGTGGCAAAGAGGCTGGTGAGGCTCAGAGGCTCCAGCTGACACTCCTTGAGGCTGAGAAGGGACAGAGGGCAGGACAGGGGATCAGAGAGGGCCCAGGGCCCTGTCCAGCCGGGGTCCCTCTCCTCCTCCTCAGTGGCAGGCTCCCTAACCTGCTCAGCATTCTCTCCTCTCCCCAGGGTCCCTTACTCCCTGGCAACTCCTGTTCTACCACAAGGATAGCCAAGGCCTCTGAGTGTCCCGCTGCCCCGTCCAGGGATCCTTCCGACCCTCCCATTGCACTGCCTGAGCCTGGGCCACCATCCTCACTCACCTGGACCATCTAACACTCTCTGAGTTCTCCTTTTGGAAATCTGCAAATCTGACCAGGCTTCTCTACCTGCTTAAAACCCTCTGTGGCTCCCTATTACCTTTAGACCAAGTGGGAATGCTTTTCTCACCGTCTCCCTGTGCTCTTGTCCTCTAGTCACACAGAAATAATGAGAGCCAGGGGCTCCTTCATCCTGTCCCTCCTGCCTGGGGCACTACTCACTCTCTCCTCCCCTTAACTCTGTTGGGACCTCAGCTTAGGTATCTCTCCTGGGGAGGATGTTGAGTCCCAGCTGGGGTCTCAGTCTCTGGTGGCAGAGAGGGAAACCTCTTAAATCCCAGGCCACGCTCCAGCAAAAGCACTCGGCCTTTCTCTCTACACCCCACCTCTCTTGTACATGGTAGTATATTTGGGAGAGAGGTAGCCCCTTTCTGTTAATTGATGTCCCCGAAGCAGATGGCAACCCAGGCACTGGGGACTGGGCTTCCTTGGAGGGCAGGACGGTCCTGTCTGCTTTAGAGAAGTGTGAAATCTGCTCTCTCAGAACACTGGGGCCGGGCTGTGAGCTGCCCCAAGGGCTCCAGCAGCGCCCACGCTCATGGCTGTGGTTTTACCTTCTCTCCGACTCTTTCTCTTCCCTCGCTCCCAGTCCCCAGCTCGGGCCCTCTAGGTCCTACCCACTCCCTAACCCCCCACTCCATGTGGTTACCCCAAAACAAGAAGCGGGAGACAGTACCAGAAGCTCCTGGGGATGCTGCGCTGACCGAACCCGGAGAACTGGGCTCTGGCTGGGAACTGTGGAGAGGAGCCACCCGTCCACCCATCCCTGCAAGGAACGTTCGAATCAGCCACGTTGGAACCGGGCACTCAGAAGTCAGGGCTGGAGGGGCTCCCACAGGCAGCCAGCCCTCTATCCAGGGCCCCCTCCATGCACAGACAGGGAAACTGAGGCCCGGGGAAACAAGGGTGAGGAAAGCAAGCAGCTCAAAGCTGTCCCAGGGCGGCCCGCAGAAGGTGCAGGGAGTCAGGACAGAGCCCCTCCCCGCCCCATCACGGGCTTTGCAATCCATGTGATTTGTGCCTCCATGTCCCCGAGAGGTTCCCCAGAAACAGAGGCCCTAGATGGCCCACGTGACCTGGCGATGCTTTGCCCACCCCATACATCAGCTGAAGTCACTGCCCAGGGGGCCCCTTCCCAGGAGAGCCCGGGACGTCCGTCCCCACTAGGGGGCAGCCGCGGGCACCCGCAAAGCGCGCGGTGCGTCCGGCGTTGGCCGCCGAGAGGTGGAAAGCTGTTTTTCCAAGAGCATCGACGGTTTCTCGGGGTGTGGCGGGGCAGTGAGTCACATGAAGCCGAGTCGGCAAAAGCCCCAGATCAGAAACACAGCTGCCCGGTGCCCTCCCACGCGGCAGCTGTCGCCGGCAGCTGCTTAGCTGTGGCTGTGGTCGGGTCCTCCCCGCAGGGCCCCGCCCTCCTCCAGGACCCTGGGGGCAGCGACTCGTTCTACGAGGCAGGGGCGGTTTCAGAAGCAGGGTGACTTCCGGTGCCTGGCGGGGGGGGGGGGGGGGGTTGCCCAAGCCGAGTGGCCAGCATGGATGTGGGGGTGGGGACCCTTGGAGGAAATGGGCATCAGGGCAAGAGGGGAGCCCACCCCATCTCCCTGGAATGCCCGTCCTCACCTGCCTCTCTTGTCACCCTGCAGGAGGATCTGCTGGCTCTCCAAGCTGGAAGCAGAGAGGAGGCAGCTATTTGAGAAAGGGCAGAGGACCTCCGACCCAGCCCTGGAGAGGCCAGACCCCCGGTATAGGAGGGCTGGGGGGCAGCCTGCTTCCTCAGCGAGTCCAGCAAGGGGAGATCACAGCGGAGCGCATGGCCAATGTCATTTTACCGGGTTCTCACGATAACACCGTGAAGGTAGAAATTAGAATTTCTGAGTTTCATTTTACACATAAAGAAACTGAGATGTGGGTGAGCTCAAGGATCTGCCCAAAGCTGCATGGCTGGGAGGTGGCTCAGCCGGGTCCCTCTGCCATGCACCTCCTGTTCTTGGGGACCTGGGGGTAGGAGGCTCAGCGCCTCTGGAACCATGGGGGCTCTGTATGGGGGCCACAGCTCTGTGCTGGCTGGTGTTCTCCCTCTGTGGTCTCATCAGCTCCAGAGGTCTCAGGTCCCTGAGCTCCCAAGGCCACCACAGGGCTCCCAGTGTTCCTATAAGTCTCTGAGAACAACTGGGAGAGGGAGTAAGGGGGGCTGATGGGCTTTGTCCCACGGAAAATTTGGGAAACTTGGCTGTTTCTGGGGCCATGTTGTTCCATCCCTCCCTCCACCCACCCCTCCCTCCATCCCTCCATCCTTCCACCCTTCCCTCCACCCCTCCATCCCTCCATCTCTCCACTGGACACCTAACACATCCTCACTGGACCTGGTACCATCTAAGGCTCTGAGGATGGATGTGTGGTGACATGACACACGAGGGACCCAACTGGAAGCTGATGGCCTGTGGGACGAGGGGTCAGGCAGGGCGAGGGGCAGAGGGGCACTCACCTGACATCCAGGTGGGCCGCCCACTGCAGAGCAGACATGCACTGGGACAAACAGCACACGGCACTCAGGGACACACCGTTCTCGCTGAGGCTGCAGATCACAGGGTGACAATGACGGAGGCCACCCAGGACTCAGACACACCTTCTTTGGTCAGAGCACAGGACAGGGAGTTGGGGGGTGTTGTCCCTGATTTCAGATGACAGAACCCACCAAGCCCCAGGTGCTTGGAGATCACCCCTCCCAACCTCATTGGACAGAAAGGGAGACTGAGGCCAGGCAGAGGCCAAGCAGAGGCCAGGTATCGCCCAAAGTGACAAGACATGAGGTGACAGAGCCGAGGTTGGAACTCGGTGGTTCCCTTGGTCTGTGACCCGTCTAAGCAGTGCTTTTTGGCCAGAGTGGGCTCAGTCTCCCCACCTGACGGAGGAGGGTGACACCGGTGCAAAATGAAATCCTGGGGCCCCACCCTTCCTTTCTTCTGTGGTCCTTCTGTCAACCTGTCGAGGGCTTTTCATTTGCCACTTAACTGCCCACTCCTCAGGATGAGGACCCCAGCAGGGTGCGCAGGGCCCTCCCAGGCACTGGTCAGTGGAGCCCCGTGTTAGGAGGTCACACAGGGACGTGCCCTGAAGGCTCAAGCTACGTGTCATCTGCCTGCGAAGTGGAGGCCTTCCTTCCTGCCCAGGTGCAGGCCCCAGCAGGACCCGGAGCAGCCTCCTTTTTGCCAAGCTTGTCCCAAGACAGTGTCCAAGCAGGAAGGTTGGGCAAACAGTGATCGTGCCTCCAGTTCATGTGTCTTCTGACTGGGAACTAGGGGCTCAGAGAGGTGAGCCAACCCACCCAAGGTCACACAGTAAGTAGGTAGCAAAGTCAGCTGGGGCCCCAGGACCTGTGACCTCTCACCAGTGCTCCTCTCACTTTGGAGGAGGGGGCTGTAGGAGCCAAGGATGCTCTGATCTGCTGCAGGCAAAATTTGGGGATCCTTGGCCTCTGCAGGGCTCCTTTCCACAGTGGACAGCCTCCTCTCTGGTCACCCTGCTAGAGTGCCCTTTCTGGCATAAACTCTCCCTTCCTACCCAGACCAACTCCCATCCCACAGTCCCTGGCGGCTCCCAGAGGCCAGCACGGGGCCAGCCGTTAGTCACCAATGCTTCCCCCTGCTTCCGCTGGACTTCCCATGACCCCCCAGGCCCTGAACACGACCCATGCCCGCCCTAATGCAGGTGGCTGGGTTCCCAGGGGTCCAGAGCTGCAGAGCTGAGTTTGAGAAGTGAAACCCCGAGTGAGAAGCTGGCCTTCGGGGCCCGTCTCCACGGGAAAGAAGTCGTTGCCTAATCGAAGCTGAAGGAGCAACGGCCCTGCATGGGCACTTTCTCTTTTTCTGCATCGGCAACTGGGTCTGGGGACTCACAGGTATTTTCTGTAACCCCAGGAGGGCGGGTGAGTGACACAGGTGTCCCCACCCCATCCTGCAGAGGACAAACCCCAGCTCTGCCTAGCTGGCTACTTACTTCAAGGATTGCAGGGGGCCCAGCCCCGGGAGCAGCTGGGCCAGCAGGGTCACCCCCTGGTCCCCCAGGGAGTTGCCTGAGAAGCTGGAGGGGGGGGGGAGAGAAACCATCAGTGGGGGGTGGGCGGGTGCTGACCTGGGTCTCTGCCCTGTCACTGGCTTCTCCTGAAATGGGCACAGCCTGGGCTGCCAGGCTGGGTCCCGCAGATCTACAGGGGGCCGCTGGGCCTCCCCCAGGTTCTTTCCTGAGGCTCATGCACTCCTGGGGGGTGTGGGGGTGGGCTTCAGAGGGCGGTCAAATGTTGGGAACGTGCATTTGGGGAGAAGGGGACACAGCTTTCATCAGATTCTCTGATGGGCTCCTAACTCCAGGAAAAGAATGCCCACCCGATCTAAGCAGTCAAAACGCTTCGCCAACACCCTCCCGCCCATGGACTCACTCCAGGTGACCCAGGTGGCCGCTTCCTCCCAGCGCCCTGCAGAGCTGCTCCAGGTGCTTGGTCTGGAAGCCACAGTGCGTCAACCTGCAGCGGGAGACCGCAGCCCTGCACGCCTGCCCACAGGCGGAGGTCACAGCCCCGCCACCCACCACACCCACAGAGCCAGGCTTGCAGGGGAGGAGGGACAGGAACACATCTGGCACCTAGACAGACAGACAGACAGACAAGGGGGGCCACCACACCCCACCTGCACCCTGCATCTCTGTAGGATGGTACACATGGGCAGAGGCAGAGACAGAGGGACAGAGGAGGACAGACCACAGAAGACCAAGGGTGGTGGAGGAAGAGAGACCTCGAAAGACACAGGAATGAGGGAGACAGACAGACAAGAGGAGATACAGACAGACAGGATGAGAAAAGCCAAGAAGAGCCCCGGAGGGGCCCTGCGGAGGCTGAGGCCCAGGGTCAGGATAGCAGGGGCCCCGAGGAGTCCCCTCCTCCCCAGCCAGAGTTCCCGTCTTCAGCTGCTGGGCTCAGAGAGCTGGGGGAGCAGGTCCCCCGGGCAGGGGAAGGGGCTGAGGGGGCTGCCTCGTTGAGCCCCATCTGGGGTGGGGGACAGCTGGGCCACAGGTCCTGGACACAGCAGGGCATGGTGTCCTCCGGGGAGCATAGAGGGCTGGAGCCTGAGGTTTGGGACAGGCCTCAGGTGGAGGAAGAGGGGAGGCTAGAACCACACGGGGCCTGGAGGTCATCGGCATACCTGATCCTTCGGGAGCTCGGAGGTAGCTCACAGGACAGGGGGGACATGAGGTTGTCAAGAAATGCAGCCCTGGAGGGACACACACCAAGGCCAGGTAAGCGGACACCTCGCCCACTATCTTCACAGTCCTTCGCCAGCTGCACCTTGCGCACTGTTCAGTCTCTAGGCTGGGCCGGGAGTCAGTGAGACCTTGATTCCAAGTTGGCCCGGGGTGTGTCACTCGATAGTATGACATGTGAATTGACTCAGCACAGAGCTTACTACATACATAGTAAATGCTCAATTAACCTCCGCTGCTACTATCATTAATCTGAACATCCTCATCAGTGACACCATCGATGGCTGCGCCAGCTCTGACCAGCTCTGACCTCAGATGCTGCACAAGAGACTGTGGTGGACACAGAGGAGGAAGAGCTGGGACTGTGCGTGTGCGAGGCCGGGACAGCCCGGGAGGAGGACACGCAGAAACGAGGCCTTGTGCCACAGAGAGCTGGAAGTTCTGACCAGCAGCCTGAGCCATCCGCTGGGTTGAGGCTGCAGGGCCTCAGACTCCGGAGCATCGGTCTCTGGCTCCCCCCACCCCTCCCCCCGCATGTGTCCACACCCTCCATCTCAGGGCTGTCTTCAAGCACCAAAAAATGGGGAGGCCCATTGACCTTCCCCTGGACAGCAGCACCCCCTGCCAAGCCTGCTCACTTCCTGTCCCTTTGTGCATTAGTCAAGGTCTTCCCTGCCACCCTGCTGTGGTTGACCCTGACCAGACAGGGGCTGGGAGGACGCTGGGCCTACCTCTCCTGGGTCCCCCCCTGCTCTTCTGGCTCTTGGGTAAACGTGAGGACCGCGGTTCTGTGCAGCAGGCTGTGGAGAGAGGAGGGGTCGGGGAGGGAGAGGTGAGGACTTCTGCTGGGTGCCCCATCTGGAGGGGCCCTAGGGAGCCCCCCAGCTCCAGCTGAACCCCTTCCTCTGACTTCCACTGCCAGTTTCCAGGCAAGACTGTGAGAGAAACATGAAATCCCGCCTCCTCTGTGGTTTGGACCTCAGGCTGCAACGCCCCTCCTCCGCAGTTGGTGATCCTCGTACACTGGGAGCACCCTGGGCTGAGGGCGCTGTCCCTTGTCCCTGGAGGACATCTCAATGATCCTTGTTAACTTTTAGGATTGGGTCCTTCAAATGTTTTGCTTTTTAAATGCAATTAATTTTTTTTCTTGCAAAAATGGGAATTACAAATTCTCTTTCTTCCTTCCTCCTCCTCCTCTTCCTCCTCCTCCCTCCCTCCTCCTCCTTCTTCTTCTTCTCCTTCTTCAGGTTGAACCCTAGGGTGCCCAACCATTGAGCCACCTCCTCAGTCCTTTTCATTTTATTTTGAGGCAGGGTCTTACTACGTTGCTCAGATTGTCCTGGAACTTGTGTGTCCGTCTCCCAGGTTACTGAGATAACGGGCATCGGCACTCAGCCAACTGGGCATTGTCCCCAAGGTGTTTTACCACTGAGCTACATCCTCAGTGAGAACATTTTAAAGTTTTTTTTTAAAAAATTGGGACAGGGTCTCACTAAGTTGCTCAGGGCCTTGTTAAGTTGCTGAGGCTGGCCTCAAACTTGTGACCCTCTTGCCTCAGTCTCCTGCGTAGTTGGGATTACAGGTGTGCACCACCACACCTGGCTGGGTTTTTTGTTTTATTGTTTGTTTGTTTTTAAGGCAGAGATGAAGCTAGGGTGACAGATTAGAATCATGAACAGTCATTGCTCATGGGAACAGATTGCACCATTCTTTCTACCATTGAGTATGTTTGAAAAGCCTTATCATGAAGATCATGAATTAAAATTTCACGTTTATTTAATGTCCCACAGTCTTCCCTTCAGATGAAAACCACATCTATATTGAAATTTTTTTTCATGGTTCCATTGAGTGTTTTTCTTTGTAGATAACTTGGTTTATTTAACTAATATCCTACTATTAAACATGCAAGTTATTTCCATTTTTTTCCTATCATAATTGATACTGGGGTGAATATCCCTGCAACTAAATGTGTTTGCGTATCTATCCCCAGCCCTTTTTATTTTTTATTTTGAGACAGGTTCTCACTAAATTGCTGAGCCTGGCTTTGAGCTTGCCATCCTCTTGCCTCAGCCTCTGAGTCTCTGGGATTACAGGTGTGTGGGGGGTTCCTGACCTTCCACTGGGGGGATGGGGATTTCCTCTCTCCTTTGGGGGTGTGTACAGCAGGGCTGCTCTGCTCCGCCAACAGCCTTGAGGGAGACGCCCTCCAAGCTGGGAACTGCTTGACTTTGGCTTGCAATTGTCCTCAGCTCGCCAGACTAGACAGTGAGACTCACAGAAATAAGGCGGGGGCCTGTCTTGGGCGGGTTCCCTAGAAACAGAGCCTGGGCCTGGGAAGCAGGGGTCCCATGCCACCTGACTCCTGGTGCATGTGCTGTCAGGAGCTTGCTCTCAGGAGAAGCTGGTAAAGGACGGAGGGAGGCCCACAGGGGCCTGATCCCAGGGGAGCCAAGTTGCAAGGGGATGGAGACAAGGGCTGCCTCTGCCACCGGCCACCCTGGCTGGGGACTGGTACACAACCTCCCAGGCACCTCTGGCTCCCACCAGCCCTGGGCGGTCCTCCTGAGGGGACACCAGTGCCTTGAGCACACCATTCCTGCCGCAGCAGCTGGGGTCAGCTGTGCCTGCTGGAAGGGGGTCTGGGAGGGGGAGCAGCAGCATTTTCTAGGGGTCCCTACATCCTGGGACCGGAAAGACTCCCAAGGACTTAGCATGACAGGCCAGCTTCGGGCTAGAGGGTGCAGGTCACGGAGGCCGACGGGGAGCTCCTACCTGATGTGCAGGGTTTCCAGAGCTTGGCACGTGCTCAGGGCGCTCAGCACACAGGACACCCCGCCCACGGAGAGCCCACTGTCGCTGAGGCTGTGGAGAGGTGGAGGCAGCCATCAGAGGGGCCACGATCCTCAACCCCCGACGGCTCCAGCTCCCTCCTCATGACTCGGGAGAGGTGGCTGTCACTCTCAGATGTCCTGGGTCCTAGCCAGGGGCCCTCAAAGGATTCCGGCCACGCAGGTGAGCCAAGAGCTGCAAGGCCCCCCTGCTTCAGGAGCAGAGTTCTCCAGCCTGAGCTGAGAACTCGCTCGTGCTTTGAAGCCCCTGAAGCCCAGCGTCCTGGCCGGCAAAGGAGCCACCTTTTGAGCTCCGGCGTGCCAGGCTCGGTAGGTCCACGTGTGTGGGCACACTCGTGACCTCAGGGAATCCTGTTTTACAAACGGAGAAACTGAGGCCCAGAGACATTGCTCTACTTGCCCAGTGTCACAAAGCTACGAGGTGACAGAGCCACAGCCAAGGTCTTGAGTAAAAGCTAACCACTTCTACCCAGCCACAGCCCTGCCTCACCCCAACCCGCCCTGGATCCCAACACCCCAACACGGCCATCCAAGCACTGCCCTGCCCCACCCTGCAGCCCAGCCTGGGACCCTCCCATCTCAACACCCAGCACCCCACCCCTTCACCCCCAGACGAGCCCAAACGAAGGCACCACCTCCTACTTAATCCGTCACCCTGGCACCCGTCCACCCAAAGCCTCAGTTCTGCCCCACTGCAACCCCTTTGCCCCCTACTCCGGTGCTACTGAAAGGACAAACAGGTCCACAAGCCACCGACGATGACCGTGAGCGCACTCTCCAAGCGCAAGGGGTTAAATGGCTGGCGTGGAGATGGTGGCTCAGCCAGGCAAGGCTGGAGTTGGGAGAAAGTGAGGTGGCGGGTGCATTAGCAGCATTACTACTGACTGTGGCACAGGGACCAGGGGTGGCAGGGACCTTCTGGGGGCTCTCCAGGACGCTCCTGTCACCCAGGGGTGGGTGGCAACTCACTCCAGCTTCCTGGCAATGTGCAGGCGGGAAGCAGCCTCAGCCAGGAGTCGGCAGCCTTCGTCTTCCAGCTGGTTCCCTGAGAGGCTGGAACAGAGGGGCCGCCCTGCACTGTGGGGGAGCCCCGCAGCCGCCCCCCCCCCCCCCCCCCCCCCGCACCCTCACAGACCCCCACTGACTCCAGACCAAGCATCTCGGCCATAATGATTTTTTTTTCGTCTGGGGGTTACTGGGGATTGAACTCAGGGGCACTCGACCACTGAGCCCCATCCCCAGCCCTATTTTGTATTTTATTTAGACACAGGGTCTCACTAGGTTGCTCAGCGCCTCACCTTTGCTGAGGCTGGCCTCCAACTTGCAATCCTCCTACCTGAGCCTCCTGAGCCACTGGGATTCCAGGCAGGTGCCACCACACCCGGCTCCTAATTGATTTTTAACACTAGCTAGAGGGGACGGGCTGCACCCTGGAGGCCTGGAGGCTTCTGCAACCCTTGACACATTTCTTCTTCCTAGGAAGCAGCCACCTTTATTATCTTAATCTCTTCTTTACTCGTGAGTAAACCAAGGCGCTGTGTGGTTAAAGCATTTGCCCCAGGGTGGACCTAGATTTGAACCCAGGCAGCCTGATTGCAAGGCCTTATCAGCAGCCATTCCTTTGTGCAATCTACATAATTGCTCCTTGTGATAAATTTCATGATTACAGGGACCTCTGACCTAGAGTAAAGACCAGGGAAGGCTTTCCTGAGGATTGAGCTGCTTGCTGGAAAAACCAGAAGGAGTTCAATAGGTAAGGGGCAGAGGAGAGATGGGGGAGGAGTTTTCTGGCAGTTGAAATGGCACATTCAAAGGCCCTGTGGCACCTAAAAGGAGCCAGTGTGATGGGATGGATCGAGCCTGAAGTGGCAGGATAAGATGTAGCTTGGGGGGCTGGGACAGGGTTGTGGATCACATGGGATTTTAGGATCTTGTGTTATCTTGAGTAGCAGGAGACAGTGAAGGGGGTAGGCAGCAATGAAATGTAGGCACCCTTCCAGGAAGAGGTGGCCAGGGTAGAAGCAGGCAAGCCCGTGAGGAAGATGCTGGGGTCACCAGGTGAGAGGGGAGGGTGGTTTGTGATAAGAAGCTGGATAAAGAGGCTAGAGAAAGGGGGATAGTCGTGAGAACTGTTGCAGTTGGCCCAGGGTGGACCGTCTGGGGGGCCAGGGGGCTGGAGGTGTCTTCTCTGGGTAACCAGGTGGGTGGGGGATTGCTGCGGCTGAGCCTGGGGCAGGGTCAGGCTCCATGGCGACAGGGTGGGTAGAAGTACTTGATACCTTCTAATCCTGCCCTGGTTCTCCCAGTGGGTCAGGAGCAAGGATTGGTCACCAAAGAAGCCCTCGCCCTGTCCCTCTGTCCTCAAATCACACCACGGAATCCCAGCAATCCACCCTGGTGCCCACTGGAAGATTTCCTAGGACTGTCCTTTTGGGGCATCCCTCCTAGTGACATGGCAAGACCTCCACCAACCCCCAAACCCTGCCTTCAACAGTCCCCCCAAGAGCTGACTGTCGTGGGAGCCCCTCCAGCCTGAATGGAGTGGCTTCTCCCAGGTGCAGCGGGGGCTTCAGCTCTGCAGATCCCAGCCACGGTGGTTATGGGTTTGAGACCCGGAGCCAGACTGTCTGGGCTTGCACCCTGGCCTGGACCCTTCCTTCCCATGTGACCTTGAGAAAAATCTTCCTCTCTGTGGCTTCATTTCCTCCTCTATCAAATGTGGATGGTGACAGAGCTCACATCATTGAGATGACAGGATTAAATGAGATACGTATGTAAAAGCCCCTGGCCAGGCACCCAGCACAGGGCAAGTACTAAACAGTGGTAGCTCTTGTGATTCTTGATGCCTTCAAATTCTTCAGGAGGCCATCTGCCCCTCCCCTGCACCCTCCACCCAAAGGCCAGGCCCAGTCCCCTCTTCCCCAGCCTCCTCCCCATGATACTCACTCCACTTCCTCCAGAGGCGGACCTTCCAGGAGCAGGGCTATGAGGGCCTCCACATTACGGACCCTGAGCTGACATTTCTGGAGCCTGGGGTAGAGGACAGAGGGCCTCAGGAAGGGAACTGGGCCCCCTCCAGCGCTGATTGCAGCTGTTGGGTGTGCACGCCCCTTAGAAGCCAGGGATCTTGGGCAAGGAGCAGAGGCTGCCTGAGACTCAGCTTCCTCCTCCCTCAAGTGGGAACAATGACGTGCGCTTCCTAGAGCTTCCAAGGCTCACCGCCAGGTGACCCTGGGCTCGCCTCGGTGCCCAGCAGAGGGCAGAGGCACGTTCAGTTATAGCCATTGCTGCTGTTAGGACAGAGGCTCCTGAGTCAAGCCAGGTGGCTATTCATGTCCCTTCCGTGCCCCTTGTCTCCTTGTCCCTTTATCCTCCTCGTTCCTGTTGTGCCTCCTGCAGAAGGACAGCCCTTCCCCCACACCACCCTCTCCTTAAGGCCCTGGATCCCACTGAGGTACCTGAGGGTCAGCCTTCTGTCCTCAGCCTCTTTCCTCTGGCCGTCTGTTTCCTGTGGGTCTGGAGCTCTGGAAAGAGCCAATCAAATGTTGGTTGGGGTTTGGGCGCCAGAGTCTAGTGGACCATGCCTCTCCCCTTGGCTTCCAGGGGCTGGGGACCCTGCAGCCCTGCTCTCGGTGAGTCGGCACAAGGACAGTTGCTGGACGGTGCTCAGGGTCTGACTTAGCACAGCACCAGAAGCAGAAGGTTTGAGGTCAAAGGAAAGCTTTATCCATCTGCAGTGTGTGCTGTTGGACAAGACACTTCCCACTTGAGGTGTGTCAAATGGGACTGATGGACTCACAATTTCATTTCACTTAATCTAAATTTAAATAGCCCAGGTGGCTGGTGGCTGTCATCCTGGGCATCCCAGCTCTAGACAGAGAGGAGCAGGACAGTGGTCCTACTGGGTCATGGTACAGGTGAGGAAACTGAGGTTCAGAGCAGGCAAAGAACTTGCTTGAGGACTTCTTTTTAATGTTTTTAGTTGTAGATGGACACAATTTCTTTGTTTTATTTATCTATATTTTTCTGTGGTGCTGAGGATCGAACCCAGTGCCTCACACATGCGAGGCAAGTATTCAACCACTGAGCTATAATCCGGGGAAGAGTTTGGGGAGCACAGTAGGGATTTTCTTTTGGGGGAATGCCTCTGCCCTTTCTTCTCCTGTGCACAGCTGGAACAGTCAGCATTTAGGCACCAACTGCATGCCAGCAGCCGCATTCCATGCATTTAAATGTATTTGCTTATTTAATTCTCACAGTGATGCTAAGCTGTAGGGAACTGCCCTCTCCTCTTTTCTCCAGTTGTAAGAGTCTTGCCAGAGCTCTCAGCATGGAGGGTGGTCAGGTTAATAGTATCTTCCGGAGGCTGTGACTCACTCTGAGATTTGGGGAGTGCTCTCTCTGCACAGGGGCCAGATGTGGCCCAGGTTTACAAGGAGGTTCATATCCTTTTACAAGTCTAAGTAGTCACTCGCCCTTCAATGCAGCAGTAGCACAAAGAATCTCCATGTTCTAGCTCTTTCTAGGCTCTCCTGCACCCTCCCCTCAACGGCCTGAGCCTAGATCTTTTCTTAGGATGGACCCAGATCTGCACCTCCCTGGCTTCTTACCTTTGTAGCTCCACAGCTGTTTCTTCAAGTGGGGAAAGAAAGAAGATGAGGTCTGTCTCCCTAGAGGGTCAGACACCAAGTCATGAAACCAAATCAGGGACTAGAAATCAGCCCGTCACCCCTATCTGCACACCCATTCCTGTTCCAAACTCCAGAGAAAGCTGGGTGCGGTGGCACATGCCTGTCATCCCAGCTCCTTGGGAGACTGAGACAGGAGGATTGCAATTTATCATGACCCTGTTTTAAAATAAAGTAAAACATTAAAAGAACTCGGGATGTGATTCAATGATAGAGAACTTGCATGTGTGAGGTCCTAGGTTTGATCCCCAGTACTGAAAACAAACAAGCTAGGGAAACAATTTCTTACAAGAAATAAGATAAAACATTAGGAACGCTGAGAGGGCTTGTTTTTTGGTACCAGGGATGCTTTTTAAAAATCTTTGTTTGTTTATTTATTTATTTTTGACATAGGGTCAAGTGTCTCACTCTGTTGCTTAGGGCTTTGCTAAATTTGCTGAGGCTGGCTTTGAACTCGGGATCCCCCTGCCTTAGCTTCCAGAGCTGCTGGGATTATAGGCATGTGCCTAGAGTTTTTAAAAATTGCTTTAGGATTAAGAAGCATGACGCTTGCTGAGCGGAGGCTCCGGCTGCAATCCCGGCTACGGGTAAGGTTGCTTCAGCACCATGGAGAGTGGCACACAGCCAAGGATCCCATTGGCTGGGCCTGTGCTTTGTAGCGGGTTTTGATTCCACCGTCCATCCACACCCATCTTCCCGTTCACCCACCCACCCGTGCATCTACCCACTCACGCACCCATGCACCCATCCAGCCACCCACTATTTATTGAGTTTCGGGTGTCGGGCCTGAGCTTGGGTCTGGAGCTGCAGGAGTGAGTAACACACACTGGAAGCTCTCCAGATGAACGGCCTCCTCCTTTCCCCATTCCCCACTTTCTCATACCCGCTTCTACAGACTTTGAAGGCCAGGATCCCGTTCCTTCGGCTCACCTGACCTGCAGCACCCTAACAGTAGGGCACAGGACGGCCACCTTCACCAAGGACAGTACTGTTGACGTGGAGAAGCTGCTGCGACTCAGGCTGCATGATTGTGGCACAGATGTCAGGACCCTCCCCAGCCCAACGGTGTGTAAGGGAGGGGGGACGTAGGCCAGGAGAGGAGCCGGCAGGGACGGGGAGCAGGAGGACTGCTTACTCAAGCTTCCGGAGCCGCGGCAGGTGAGGGAGGACCTCCGCGATGCTCAGCACCTCCGGGTCCTTGAGCTGGTTGTCCTGGAACCTGCAGGGAGACCAAGGCCCAGTTCCTCAATCCTGGCGCTGGGGTCCTTGGACTTCCCAGTTGGCAGGTGACAGTCAAGGCTACCCTTATTGGGGACCAGGAATTGTGGATGACCTGCTCCCTAGCATCCAACAGGCACGGCTAGGAGGAAATGTCCCCCACTGGCCTCACTTCTTTCCCCATGGGTTTTTTGGCTAATGACCTATAGCTTCTAAATGACAGAGGTCTCATGAAGTGGAGCGAGGAGACTCAGAATCCCAATCCCAGGACTTATGTCTGGAATGTGGCTGGGGTCCAAGTTGGTCAGGGCCTCTTGTCCCCCTGGTATGAAGACCAAGGTCCAGGTGGGCATGCTGCAGATGCTGTTTCTGGTCTCAGCTCTGACCTTGACTCACCCAAGCAAGCAAGTGTTCCTCTCTGACCTCACTCTATCCCTGTTAACTGAGGGCCACACCCCAGCCCTGTTTGGGTTCCTAGCTGGATGGAATATGAGGTTGACTGAGAGCATCAGTGGGTGCTGGGGGAGAAGGTGAAGGTCACTGTCAATAATCACCAAGCAACAGAGAGATCAATATTCCTGGCCTTTGTCCCCACCAGAGTGATCCCTGCACAAAGGCCCCCAGCAGAGGAGGCAACAGGAACAGGGGTCAAGCTTATGTTCCCCTCGATACGTGCTGTATCCTGGAGCCAGGAGGTGCCTACCTGGGCAAGGGGCAGCTTCTCTAAATATCATAAAGGTGCCATCTGCTAGCAGTGGTCCTGCCAGGGAGCTGCTGGCACATCCCTGGCACCACCCTTCCCAGAGCACTCATTCCCAGACACGGGGGAGGGGTATATTTGTGTGCCTCATTAGCTGGTGTGTGCATGCATCTAAATGTACACGTATGTGCTATGCACCAGCACATCAATGAATGGGTGTGTTCACTTGAGTAGGAGAATGTGTACTTCTGTGCACGTGTGTGCATATGTGTGCATGCATGAGAGGGTGTGTCTTTCATGCCTTTATGTGTAGCCCAGTGCCTGTGTTCTGCCCACACACTGCCATCCCTTCTCCTAGCATCACAGAAAGAGGAGCCTCAAAACTTGTGCTTCTCCAAGAGGGCTAAGATATCAGATATAAGAAGGCTGCTCTGGAGCCTTTGGAAACCTTTGGTTTGGAATCACCTCATCTCATTCTTGACCTAATACCTCATTGAAAAACGAGACCTTGGTCAGACCTCGATGGAATGTGCGGGACCTAGTACAGAACCCAGGGGGTGTCCTGGGAATGACTCCTCTCCCCAGCCGCAAGCCCTCCTGGAGATCACTCACCTGACCTCTTCCAGCTGCGGGCAGAGGGGCAAGGCCTGCACCAGGAGGCTGACGCCCTGGGCAGTGATCTTACTTCCCGCTAACCTATGGGGTAAGCAAAGATGGTGGGAAAGGATGGGGTGGCGGAAGCAGGTAGCCTGGGACTCTGCCCTATGCAGGACAAGGGGGAGGAAGGGAGTGCCAGGCGTCCTCAGATGAAGGTCTTTCTTGGTTCCAAGCCCTGGCTCACCCCAGAATCTTCAGGTTCCCCATGGTTGGCAAGCTCCTAGAGAGGGCTTCTGCAAACGCGTCCCCGCACTTCCTGCTCTTAAAGCTGTGGGGAAGAAGCAAAGCGCAGAGGATCAGTGCCAGGAAGAACTTTGAGGTCATCTCCACACCCTCCTCAGTCAGATAGGGGGGCCATATTAGGTAGACAGAGTTGCCATTGTAGTTGTGTTGGACAGGGGACAGCAGAGTCTGCTTCATCAAGGGAATCCCTTCTCCACTTCACCCATGGAAATAGAGAGCTGGGAATATGTTTTCCCAGACAGAGATGACACTTCCAACCTGCCTTGCAGCTCACGAGCCCACGTGGCTGTTCTCACCAATGGAATGTGGCTGAAGTGATGAGTAATGAAGTGATAAGTGGCTAGTTCTAGGACTGACCTTGAACACATTGGGCATGTCTCTTCCATGCCCACTCTTTCCCTTGCCTCATGCCAGAGGTATGCCCAGGACCCAGCTTTGCCTATGCAGATAGGACATCCAAGGAGATGATGGAGCAGCCAGGGTAGGGGCCTGGGTCCCTGCATGACCCTGTGGAGTAGCCATGCCACCAACCTGGACTGCTTATTTCTGCCTCTTCCAGAAGAGACAAACGCAATTCTGCATGGTTGCCTCCCTGGGCTTTGGGAGGTTTCCTTTGTGCCTTTCTCTAGCCAATCAATACAAATACTGAGCTCTGGGCTGGGGGCTGTGCTGGGCAGTGTTTGTCCCGCACGATCCCAGGTCATTCTCACACTGACCAGAGAGTGAGGTGTTACTGCAGACTCATTTTAGGGATGAAGAAACTCGCTGACCCAGAGGCTGCACTCCAACACAGCCCGGATCAGAGGCTGCAGCCGCGACAGAGAGAGACCTAGGGCCTAGAAACCACGGTCAGAAGGAGGGTCCAGCTGGGCACAGGGCCCTATCCCACCAGCACCAGAGGCTAAGGGGCAGACAGGGCCAATTCCGGTCCCATACTCGAGATCCGCATCCAGTCTCTAGAAGGGGTCTGCCAGACGGGGTGGCCTCCATTGTCACCAAGTACAGATCCTCCAGGTCTTCTCTGGCCCTGCCCTTACTCACCTGAGAGTCTCTACCTGCCCACAGCCTGCCAGAGCCTCAGGGCAGTGAGGCTCCAGGGGGCAGCCCTCAAAATCCAGGTGGATGGGGTCTGCTCTGTGCTCCAGGATGCTGGTCAGGGCAGACAGGTCTCTGTAGGTCAGCGGGAAATTGTGGAAGGGCAGTTGATAGGGGAGGCTTTGGGCAGTGAGGCTGGCCAGCTCGGACTCCTGAGTCTCGGCCACATAGTGACACAGCTCCACCACCTTTGGCCCCGTGAGCTTGCGGGTGGCCAACTTCCTCAGCACCTGCAGGACAGCTGCCTGCCGGGCCCCCACCCAGGCCTCGTTCCTCTGGGCCAGGTGCCTGAGGAAAGGTCGGCAGGTGAGGGATGCCAGCCCCGCCAGGAAGGTGGGGAGGTGGTCCGAGAGGTTCAGCCTGGTTCTGGTCCGCAGAACCCAGTGAGAATTCAGCGTGACGTGGCTGGTGAGTATGTCCTTGTCCACTGAGGGGCTGGCCATCAGGTGCAGGGCAGCACAAAACTCTTGCAGGGTGAGGTGGGCAAAAGCATAGCCAATCTCCTGGTGCCCAGAGTCGGTGTGGATGCAGAATGAGGTCAGCATGCTGTGGGTGGCCCCGAAGGCCATGATGGCTGGAGGGATGTCTCCCGCATAGAAGATGACCTTCCCCACCTCCAGGCCCCTGAGGGCCACCTCTCCGAGGCCCAGCAGGGACTTGGCAGGCAGACTCCCAGGGGGGCTGAGGGTTAGCACCATCTGCATGTAGAGCTGGGTCACGGTGGGCAGGAGGGCCGCAGACTGGCCAGGGGCATTTCCAGAGAGGAGATGGCGGAGGCAGAGGCAGGTGACCTGGCACAGAGCGGGCACTGCACACAGGCTCTGGAGGTGCCCGTTTCCCTGGAGTTCTGCGAGGGCCACCTCCTGTGCTGGCTGCTCACTGAAGAAGCGGCTCACGTACTCCTCCACCCGCAGCCCATCAAAGCCCCACATGTGGACCGTGGCTGCCTCGGTGGGCAGGCAGGCAGGCAGCTTCCCTGGACGGGAGGTGACCATCACCCAGCAGCCGGGAAGCAGGGTACCCCGGCAGAGGGCAGAGAAGAGGGTAAGGGCTGGGCCTGAGCCATTGGGACCCAGAGTGTCCTTGCTGGAGCAGGGGTAGATGGCCTCGTCCAGCCCATCGAAGATGAGCAGGACTCGGCTGGCATTCTCCTTCAAGTACTGGAAGACAACCTCAGGGCCCGCCTCGGGGCTCAGGTACAGATCAAAAAGGAGCTGGGGCAGCGTCAGGAAGCGCGTGATCAGGTTCAGCTGGCGGAATTCAAAAAGGAACAGGGCCTGGAAATGGTCTAGCTGGCCCTCAGCCCACTTCTGGCAGAGCCGGCGGGCCAGTGTGCTCTTGCCCATGCCAGCCTTACCCAAGAGCACTGTCACCCGTGGGCCCTTGGAGGCCTTGAAGTTGAAGAGGTCCTGGAGGCTCATGTCAGTGCTATCTTCGGTCTTAGGGTCCCCCAGAACGGCTCCCTCTCGAGGGTCTAACGGTGCTGTGGCCCGGCTCCACTGCAGGATTGGGGGGACATAGGGCTGGTGGGCGCCAAAGGTCTGCCCTGGCTTGGGGACTCCATCACCACAGTGCCGCTGGGCAGAGGTCCTCAGGAGCTGCAGGTACTTCCTGGTCAGTTCTGTAGGGGTCAGGGAGAGGGCATGAGTGCAAGAGCCCCGCCCCCACCTGTGTCCCTTTACCCCAAGATTTGGCTGTTTGGAGCCCCTAGCCCCAGTGGGGCAGAAAGGGGGGGTGAGGGCGGGCACAGTGGCTCATGCCTGTACTCCCAGCCGATCGGGAGGAGGAGGCAGGAGGATCGCCAGTTCAAAGCCAGCCTCGGCAACTGAGCGAGGCCCTGTCTCAAGATTAAAAGGGTTGGGGGGTGAGGAGGTAAGGTACTATGGGGGTTTCTTATACCACCAGAATTCCCAGGAGTCCATAGCTATCAGCACAGGCTGTGGCTGCCACCGACACAGGGAGAGAGAATGGGGACACACAGTGGTGGCTCCATTGGTTGGGGGTAACGTAAGTGTGGGGGGACTTTTTGCACATCTTATTGCAGCTGCCTCTTTTTCAGGTGGTCTCTGCGTGCCCCGGGCCCCTGCCCAGCTTCATAGTTCTATGATGCCCAGGAGTGGACACCACAGCCTGTGGGCCCAGGCACGGGTCAGTAGGACTGTGGGGGCGGGGTCTCTACAATCCAGGTGTTGACCTTACAATTTCTGAGTCACTTGGAGGTCTCAGGTGGCCAGGGAAGGACTGGGGCCACTATTGGAGGAGACCGGGGCCTGAGGTAGTGGCCTGCTCTGTGCAGACGTGAATGCTCTGGCCCTGCCTGTGGCTGGTGGTGTGGGGGGCATGTTTCCAGGTACTGATTAGGAACAAGGACCATTCTGGTCTGGCCAACCCTCACCATCTTCCCATGTGTCCCCAGGGCCTTTGCCCCAGGCATCCTCCCCACTCCCATCTCTGCTCACCCCAAACTGGCCACTGCAGGCCCTGGGCCTGAGGTCATGCTGTTACTTGTTTTGTGGTCAGGCTCCCACCACCCTGGGGACACCGGGTCTCCCTGGAAGAGCCTGGCTGACAAGGCCGTGGGCCCTTGGCTTCCAGATCCTTCAGCCGAGCCATCTCTGGAGAAGCGGGCTTCCCGCCTGTTGAGGGAGGCCCCTCCCTGCCATCCTGCGCCCTCTCTGCCCCCGATGACCTCGAATCCTTCCCTCCTAGAAGCTTGGAAGCAAAAAGAGTCCCTGTCCCTGGGCCCTTGCCAGCCAGGGACAGGGTGCAGGATCTGTGCCCAGACCCCGGCAGCCCGGTTCTCACGCTGGGTCGTCCCCACCTGTACCCACCTAGCTGCTGTTTCCTGCAGTGCTTCCGGCGGGGTGAGGAGCCACAGCCCTGGTGAGGGCGCTTGAGGCCTGGAGAGAGCAAAGGGAGCGGTGGAGGGGCGACTGGGACCCAAGCAGCCACCTGGGTGCTGTGAGAGGAGGCAGGGGGCGAAGGCCGTGCCCACGCCAGCGCAGTTTGGGGAGGCGGGGGTTCCAGGCCCCGGGGGCAGGAGTGGAAGCTCCAGGCATCCAGGACACAGACAGCAGCCCTGCGGCTCTCTGCTCTGAGCCCTGAGCACTGCACGGCTGTCCCTCCACCAGGGAAGGGCCAGCTCCAGGAGGCCTGGTTGGGAGTGAGGCTGTCCACAGGCCGGGCCAGGCCACGACCTGCCTCCTGCCTTAGGCCCGTTCCTCAACACCGTGGTCCTCGCTCCCCTGAATGGGGCCAAGATTTCTCATCCTGTGTGGATGTCCAGGGTCCCTTGAATGTCTTTCTTAGGAGAGTGTGGGAAAGGAAACCAGGAAACAAGAGGAGAGAAATGAGAGAGGAAAGGAAGGAGGCCAAGGAGAGGGTTTAAAGGACAGTGGATTCTCCACAGTAGGCACCAACAACTATTCAGAGTGGCTCCTGGTGCAGGGTCCGGGCCCCTGTCCCTGGCGGGAGTCAGCTTCTTCGTTGCTGAATTGTGGAGGGACACAGGGGTCCTCCGAAGGGGCTGGAACTGCTTGAGAGTGTTTCAATGTTTTAACAAGTCCCACATCCACCGGGGAGTCACTGGCTGAATCTACTCACCAGACCTGGTCACAGCCATGTGACAATCATGCTAGCTCAGTGATAAGGGCCCAAATGCACCAGGAACTCTAACACACAGTTCAGAACTGCTGGGAAGCTGGGATTGCAAGGCTGGTGTTTTCTGTTAGCACTGACCCTGGGATGTGGCCACTGTGCCCAGCTGAAATAAACCCAGTGAAGCCACAGAAAGGAAGGACTGAGACCAGAGTGTGGCCCGAGGACAGCGAGGGGTGCCGATCCCTTCCAGCTCTATCAGAAAGCAAGGCAGAGGGTCCTTTGTTGGGAACAGGCATGAGTGTCATGCCTGAAGGGTCTGGGAGGTGAGTGTGGTCACACTTCCTCGTGAAGCCTGTCTCTGGGGTGCCAGCAGGTGGGTCTCTGGGACTGGGGGCAGGGGAATGAGAATGGACCTTCTCCAGATAAAGCAAGACAGGGGATCTGGAGGGGCCGAGGGCCAGCACCAGCAGACTCCCTTGGCGACTACAGGTTGGGCTTCTGGGGACAGGTCTGGGAAGTCACAGATCTGGAGGAGGTGGGCTGGGAGCTGCCATGGGGACATGACCCAAGTGCAGAGGGAAATGGCAGTCACCAGCCACCACCAGCTCCTCCAGGTTACATGAGGGCTTAGTAGTGATCCCCTCCCCCCTCCTCTCCCCTCCCCTCCCCCTCCCCCTCACCATGTTGGAGCTGAGGTCCAAGTCGGGTCTTCTCACCATCTCCCAGCTCTGCGAGACAGAACAGAGCAGAACACGCTGTGGGGGAGCTGAGGGCCCAGCTCTGGCCTGGTGTCTGCTCAGGGCCGTGCCACAGGGTAGGCGCTCGGCCAGGAAGAAATAAAGAAATAAAGTTGACACTCAATGATCTGTCGGAGGGAAGCTGGTGGCCCACCCTGAGGGCTGTGTGGGTGGAAATGTGTGTCTCTGCATGAGTGTACATGTCTGTGTTTATGCGTGTCTGCCCCTTGTGTGCATGGGTATATGTGTATTTGTATTTACACACATGCATGTGTGTGTGTGTCCCTTGGATTTCCCACGCCATCCTGTGGTCAAGCTGTTTTGTTCATTTGTTTGTATTTTTTTTCTTAAATATTTTTAGTTGTAGATGGACCCAGTATCTTTATTTATCTTTTTTCGTGTGGTGCTGAGGATCGAACCCAGTGCCTCGCACATGCTAGACGAGCCCTCTACCACTGAGCCCCAGCCCAGCCCCATTGTTTATATTTTTGCAGTACTTGGATTGAACCCAGGGCCTTGCCCAAGCTAGGCAAGTGCTCTACCACTGAGCTACATCCCTGGTCCTTTTCATTTGGAGACAAGGTCTCACTGAGTTGCTGAGGCTGGCCTTGAACTTGCCATCCTCTTGCCTCAGCCTCCCGAGTTGCTGGGATTACAGGCGAGAGCCATCACCTAGCTATGATGGAGCTCTTGACGGGGTTCTTCCTTTTTATCCAAGGCCATCCCTCACTGGCTTGTGTTCCCCTTACTGTTGTGCAAACAGAAGGTGTCCAAGCAATGCCCATCGAACTGGACAGAGTTAAACCTGCCTGCCCGTGGGTAGAGCTCAGGGGCTTCTCCCTGGGACTGCTTCTGACCATGTTGCAGAAGGAAGTCCCAGGGCATTGTGGGAGGTTTGGAATTTCCGGCTCCAAGGAGTCACTTGGTCTTTTCTCTCCATGCCTGACTCGGGAGGCGCAAGGTGGCAGGAGGGGCTCCAGGCTCCAGCTGATTCTGTGGCCTTTGGGGATTTGCTCTGGGGAGTGACTGGAAATTCGGAACTTTGCTCCTGGCTCTGCACATCATCCTCTGTGTATGGCCTGCATGGGCCCCGGGCCTCCCCGGGCCTCCAGTGGTTTCCCAGGATATGGGGCTGGGCTGGCTGCTTTGCACCCCTCGTGTCCACCCTTACCGTCTTCCTGGCCCCAAGTGCTCAGCAGTGGCACCTCCAGGTCCAGAGGCACCTCCAGCTCCATGCACACGCAGTGGATGAAGGACTGCCAGGTGGCCCGCCCCTGGGCGTGCAGCATTCGCAGCTGCAGGACGACCCTCTGCTCAGGGTTGGGGGGCTCGTCCCTGGAGTCCAGCTCCACGTTAGGGAGGAAGAACTTCATCTTGGTGCTCAGCCACTCTGGTTGTGTGCTCAGCAGCCTCATGAGCCAGCTCCACAGGTTCCTGGTGCCCAGCTGGAGGCCCATGGGGTCCCATGAGGAGCTGGCCCTGTAGGGACACGGAAGGCGGGTGAGCCGGGAGGTGCAGGTGAGCTGACGTGACGGGCAGGTGAACTGAGGGGAAGTGGGATGGGAGAAGCCAAAGGGACAGGAAGAACCAGCCCCACCTCTGAGCAGCAGGACGTGGGCAGGTAAGTGGCCTCTCCTTGGAGCCCTGAGCTTCTGCTTAGGGTTCAGCTCTAGATATTCCTCTGCTTCTTCTGTAGCCCCTCCCCCTTTCCCTCCACCCTGGCTCTCTGGATCGGCCTAGTCCTTCCCCTGAGGATGGTCCCCCGAGGGCCATCCTTGTTGCCATAGACCATTGTGCTACTCTCAGTCTGAGCTAACATCATGGAGCACACACACACGGCTATCTCCCCAAACTTGATCCTCCTTTCTTCTTTGGTACTAGAACTCCTGCATCTTCCCTGGTGATCTAGAATGGACTTGATCTCACAGACTCCCTTGGAGTTAAATGTAGCCATGTAAGTTTTGGCCAATGGGATGTAAATGGAAGTGCTGTCTCTCTCCTTTTTCTTCTTGCTGTTGGTTGGAATGTCATTGTGATGGCTAGACCTTGGGCAGCCATGGTGGATCATGAAGCAGAAGCCAGTGCTAAAGAAGGTCTAGGGTAAAGTTGCCCAACTTCCCTCAGCACTGACTTTGGACTTCCATCACCTGATAGGAAAATACACTTCGACTCTGTTTAAACCACTATTGTTTGGAGCTTTCTGCTAATCACAGCAAACTCTAATGTTAGCTAAGACAAGACATTTCCCCTCTTTCTATGGTAATTCTTCCCTTCTAAATTGGAACTCTCAAACAACCTGCTGGAAGGAGTACCAATATAGGCCAAGGGAGCATATTTCCAAGCAAAAGCCTAAATACTGTGCAGTTCCTTTGAGCCAGCAATTCTAAAACCTTAGAAAACAATCATGGGTATATATAAAAATTTTTAATTATAAAAATGTTCACTGCACAATTATTAATGATAGTTAAATATTGGAAGCAACCTAAAATCCAACAGCTGGGGATTGGTTGACTAAATGGCAGACCTCTTACACTAGAATATGCTGTAACATTTCCAAGTGTACTTTGTGGTACTATTTCCTTAATAAGGGCACACATTTGGAAAGCACACAGTGTGTTAGGCTTGGCTCTAGGGCTTTCTATACCTCATCGAATCCTCCCAACTCCAGAGATTATACTTCTAACTCTGAAAAGAGAGGCCCACTCAGGAGCCAGCCTCACCGACTCCTGCTGTGTGTCCTGATGTTTAGACCCCAGCTGTTCCCTGAGCACCCAGCAGAGGCCCACGGCATGTGCCCCCTTCCCTTTCTGTCATTCCTCCTCAACTAGCCTGATAGCAATAGGTCTTTGATCAGACATAGAGCTTTGAAATTCATGAAATATGCTCATTTCCACAATCCTCAGGCAGGGATCACTGACCACACTGAGCACATGGGAAGACTCAGGAAGGATGAAAGATGTGCCCAAGATCACAGTCAAGTACACGGCAGAGCCAGGATCACAACGAAGATTTCTTGCCTCCAAGACCGGTACATTTCCAAGGTCTCAATGCCCTAGATGGCACCAGACAAGAGCCAGCCCCCAGATCACGTGGTCTTGAAACAAGGATGTGGCCACAGCATAGGGCATAACTTCTCTCCTGGGCTATGGTAGCCAAGTCCATGCTGTCCATAAAGAAATCACCCAGCACACCATGCCAGGTGGAGGTAAGGGTGCCTGGATGGCCAGATTTCTGGGGATGCTCCTCATCTTCCCATTTCTCCTCCAGCCAGTCTAACACAGCTTTCATTTCCACCACTGGTGTCCCGTCCCTAGGGATAAGACATCCAGCTGTCCCTGGGTTATTTCATTATCGTGAATTTTATAGGAAATAATCTTGGAGACTGAGGACTGCAGTACAAAGATCCTTGGCCAGAGTCAGGGGACAAGGGGGCCTGGCCCAGCTCTCTCATTAATTCTCCATGGTAGGCACTAGGGCTGTTTACAGCTGCTCTCAACCTCTTTCTGGGCCCTTGATAGGATGATACTACCTCACTCCCTTGAACTTGGGCATGGCCACAAAACTTGCTTTGGCCAATGACATGTGCAAAAAAAAAAAAATTAACCTATGTTACATCTGTGCAGACATTGGAAGAGTAAGTGTGGATTCCCCATGTTTTCTCTTTTCCTCTGCTACAGGGATCAGCAGTATTTCAGATCATGCAGACATGATCTCCTTTAACCTGGGTCTGGGAGAGAGGATGATGTGGAATGGAGATCCCAATCCATTAACAGTGGACTGGAAGAGAAGACGAAGAAGGAGGAGGAGGAGGAGGAGGAGGAGGAGGAGGAGGAGGAGGAGGAGGAGGAGGAGAGTTAGTAACTTTTGTTGATGTGGGATTTTTGAGGGTGTTTGTTATTGCAGCACAACCCAGCTCATACACTCATAATGTGACCTTGTGTAAGTTTCTTTTCTCTGTGTGCCTTAGTCACAGCATCTGTAAAGTGGGTAGATTAGGTGCTTGTGGCTCCTCCCGGTTTGCTGTGTCTGATGATTTTCACTGTCATGCTGACTGGTGGCCAGGAGCAGGTTTGCGGTGATGAGTCTGGGTAGGTAGTGGTTTAGAGCAGGAGTGGAAGGAGCAGATGGGAGGGAGAAGGGCAGGAGGGAAAGAGGAGAACAAAACACCTACCTGGTTTCTTGGTTCATGATAGATGTTCTAGGGTCCCCATGGAGAGGGTCTCATGGGTGTCTAGGCCCTGTCTTGTCACTGGAGCTGGGTTTACAGGTGTTTCCATGGTGCACGTTCCTAAGGAGAGAGGGAGACAGGTTGCTCTTTCCATTTTTCCAAATTCCAAAAAGAGCCCTGTGACGAGGACCCCAGCCCGAGCCCTGGCCCTGCCTGTTGCAGGTACCTGAGGACATTCAACCCATGGAGGTCCCTCAACTTCTCGGGCAGATTGAGTTCTTCCACAACCACAGCTCTGTCCCTGGTGTTCACACCACAACCCTGACCCTCCCGGGTGTCACTTCCTGTCACACCTAGAATAGAGGATGTTCCTCTTCCTCCTCCAGCTCGAGTCTGTGGACTCACAGTGCGCCCAGCAAACTCAGCAGGTTTATCCTGACTCACTCATTCACAGGAATAGAGAACAACCCCCATTTCATGTGTTAACTTTTTTCCTCACATAAAACCCCCCAGGCAGCTGGGTGCGGTGTGCAGGCCTGTAATCCCAGCAGCTTGGGAGGCTGAGGCAGGAGGATTGCAAGTTCAAAGCCAGCCTCACTTGCACTCCATTTGTGTACAATGAATCGAAATGCGTTCTGCTGTCATGTATAACTAATTAGAACCACAACAACAACCAAAGCCAACCTCAGCAACTCCACCAGGCTAAGCAACTTAGAGAGAAAGGGCTGGGGATAAAGCACCCTTGGGTTCTATCCCTAGTAACAAAAACAAAACAACAACCCCCGCCCCCCAAGAAGGTTGGAATTTGCAATCTTCTTTCTTACCATCCACCTGTGAAATGTGAGGAAAATAACTAGAACGTTCCAGGACTTTGGAGAAATCCACATTAATAGGGCGTATTCTAACATGACAGGGTTAAGTACTGCAATCAGAAATAAGAAAAGAGGTCTCACTGAAGAGGTCCTGGGGGATTCATGATATTTTTTAATGTAACTTTGTTAAATTCGATAACTCAAAAAGGAACCCAAGGGGCTGGGATTGTGGCTCAGCGGTAGAGCACTCACCTAGCATGGGCGGGACCCGGGGTCGATCCTCATCACCACATAAAAATAAAGGCATCGTGTTGTGTCCATCTACACCTAAAAAATAAATAAATAAATATTTTAAAAAAAGGAACCCAAGAGCATGAGCAAGTGGAGATCTGACCTTGCTATGGACTGGGGTCCACTCTATGGTGAGGCCCAAATCCACTGGGATGACACATCTGGAGACGGGGGCTCTGGGAGGTGAGGGGGTCATGAGGGTGGACCCCCGATGTGGGATCAGTGCCCTCGCAGGAAGAGACAGGAAAGCTCGCCCTGGGTCGGTGTCTGTCTGTCTGTCTCTCTGCCAAGCGTGGACACAATGAGAAAGCGGAGCTGGCCAACCAGGAAGAGGGCCCTCAGCCACACCAGATGTGCTGGCACCCCAGCCGGGGGCTTCCTGGCCACTGGAGCTGGGGGAAGTCCATTTCTGCCCTGTAAGCCACCCAGTCCAGGGTATTCTGTTACAGCAACCTGAACTAAGAAATCTATTTGTGACTGCAGAAAGTAAACGAAAAAAAAATCTAAATTATCACGTGGAGGGAAGGCAATGTCACTTGAATTCCAGCAGGATGGAGAACTTGATAACATCCCATTGACTGCTCTAGAGAAGAAAGGCAGACAAGACATGTTTGTATGCCTTAAATGTTTCATTATAAAATGTTTTAAGTTAGGACTGGACATACAAAGGCAAACTGGGGGGCTGGGGTTGCAGTCAGTGGTAGAGTGCTCACCTGGCACTCCTGATCCTCATAAACATAAATATAAACATAAACATAAATAAATAAATAAATAAAATGAAGCTATTGTGTCCATCTACAACTAAAAAAAATATTTTTAAAAAAAGGCAAACTGGGTGTGTAGCCCAATAGTAGTTTAGCATACACAAGGACCTGGGTTCAATCCCCAGCGTGTAAACACACACACACACACACACACACACACCCTGAAGGCAATTATATCAAAAGACGACTTACTGGGAAGGACAGTCAAGACTGGGGGTGTTTCCAGACATCATGAAGCCTATTATAAAGTCCCCATTATTAAAACTTTAAGGTATTGGGTTAAAAATTGACAAAGGAATGGAATAGAGTCTGAGTGAGCCTCACATTCACCTCAAATACGAATCAATGACCTTGAGAGAAAAAGTGGGGAAAATATATGACATTTAAAAGTTCACGGTAAGATGAGTGTTTTAAGTTTAAAAAGTCATTTCTAATTCAAAAGTGAAATATTTTTTTTTTCCAAAATGAGAAACGTGACCACGTAGCTATGTGTGCGAAGACCACATATGGTCTCTGCAATAGACCACAGCGTGCACCGCCCCCCCCCCCCCCCACAGAGGACAGCTAGAAGAAATATGACGGACAAATGCAGGTAAGGATCTGGGGAACAGGAACCTTACATTTTGCTGGTGGAAATGGAAGTGATACAGCCTCCTGGGAAAGCAGTTAGACAGTTCCTTAAGACACCAAACCTAACATCACCAGCAACCCGGTACTCCTAGGTCTACACCCAAGAGACGGGAAAATATCACCACCGTGAAAACTTGCTCTTGAATGTTCATATCAGTATTACGAACAATAGTCAAACAGTGAAATCAGTTTGACTACTCACCGGCTCATGAGTGGGCACACAAAACACAGCATGCTTATAGGACAGCATGTTGTTCAGCAATAAAAAGGAGCAAAGGTCATGCCGGGTGGAAAGAGCCAGAGAGGAAAGATCTCCTAGGATTCTACTTATGTGAAGTGTCCAGAAAAGGCAAAGGTACAGAGACAGTGGGTGGATTCGTGGTTTCCAGGGTCTTGGGTAGGAGTTGGAATTATTCTAAGTTAGTTGAAGAATCTTACAGCACTGAAGGAAAAAGTGTCCCCAAATGGCACCAGGGTGATGGCTGCAGGGCTCAGGAAGTTAACTAGAAATCTTTGACCTGTACACATAAAAGGGTGGATAAGCTCTGCCTCAATAAAGTTGCCAAAAGTAATGCAGTATAAATTAATATGCTAAAGTAAAATATTTGTATCATTTACTAAAAATATTTTCTGTGTAGGAAAATAGCAATGAACAAAAGAAAAGCCACAAACGGTCACAGTCCTTGATGGTGAGCTGACTGAGAAGGAAACCCTTTTTTCCCCTACTGGGGGGGGGTGAGTATTGGGGGTTTTAACCCTTCAGAGGGTGCAGCAACTGTCCTGGGGCCCACAACAGATCACCCCAGCTTCACTCAAGGCTTAACCTCCAACTAGCTGCACGCACCCCTGGGCCTGGGGGTCAGGGGTTAGTACCCCCCAGCCAATGGCTGACGAGAGCCGACTCCAGCACGTCTCAGGCAGGGCAACTCCACGGGGTGTGGGCCTCCTGCATGGATTCCCCGACTTCCCCAACAGCTGCCCAGAGTATTCACTCGCTGGTCAACCTAACTTTTTGAGCTACCTCTCCTTTCCTGTCTGGAGAAGGTTTTTCTTGGATCATCTCTCAAATAAACTAGTTGTGCTGGTTTCAGGGTTTGTTTGTGGAAGAAATTCAAAGGGAGATCAAGGAAACTTGGCAAGGTGTATAAAATTACAAATGCACACGTCCTTATGGACATTGACATTCATAGGACTGTAACTGTAAGATATTCTTGTATATGTGGCAAAAAATAAATAAAATGACAATAGTGACTTTAATGTATTGAGAGGCAGTAGGACTCATGGGTTTTCCCTGTAAAGTGCTTAGAACATACTAGACACACAGAAAAGGTCTCTGAGTGACAACACTTCAAATGCTCACTGTGCAGAGCCCCGGATGCTTTCATAAGCCATCTCACTTATTCTTTGCAATAGACTTTCGAGCCAGGGACTTACAATAGGTCCATTTAACAGGGGAGGAAAGTGAGGCTAAGTATCTTGCTCAGAGTCACTGGGATTCGAATCTAGGTAGACAGAATCCCTTTATACAAAGACAAGGATATTGACCACTCTCTTGTGATAGCCCCAGAAGATCGAAAAAAAGGCAAAAATTCATCAATAGGAAATAAATTATGATACACCATTATAAAAAAGCCAGTTAAAAGAAAAATAGCTAAGTAATGTAATGTTATGGTAAGAACTCCAAAGTATTCTATTAAATAAATTCAAATGTATTTAATCTGCATATTTTAAATGTGTGCGTTCATTTGCATACACAGAGAGCAATTCTGGATGGCCACATAGGAAGCTGGTAATGGGGCTGTAACTGGGGAGGAGACCTGGAGGATGCAGGGAGGAGGGTGGAGAACCCTTTATCACGCTGTCCTCTTTTAGATCATCTGAATTTTTAAAAATGCACATTTTAAATTTTATTTTTTACTCTAATTTGTTATATATGACAGCAGAATGCATTACAATTCATATTATGCATACAGAGCACAAATTTTCATATCTCTGGTTGTATACAAAGTATATTCACACCATTCCTGTCTTCATACATGTACTTAGGGAATGATGTCCATCTCATTCCACCATCTTTCCTACCCCCAGCCCCCTCCCTTCCCTTCCCATTCATTATTTTATACTAGACAAAGGTGCCAAAAATGTGCATTGGAAGAAAGATAGCGTTTTCAACAAATCGTGCTGGGAAAACTGGAAATCCATATGCAACGAAATGAAATTAAACCCTTATTGTCAATCACAAAACTCAACTTGAACTGAGTCAAGGACCTAGGAATTAAACCAGAGACCCCGAGTCTAATAGAAGAAAAAGTAGGCCCAAATTTTCATCTTGTCAGATTAGGCCCTGACCTCCTTAATAAGACTCCTATAGAGCAAGAATTAAAATATGCACATTTTGATTTCCAAAACCACATAAACACTGACTTTAAAACCTAGAATATCCAGGTGCCGTGACGCGTGCCTTCATCCCAGTGTCTCAGGAGGCTGAGGCAGGAGGATCACAGTTCAAGGCCAGCTTCAGCAACTTAGTGAGAACCTGTCTCAAAATAAAATACAAAAAGGGCTGGGAATGTGGCTCAGCAGTTAAGCACCCCTGGGTCCAATCCCTGGTATCAAAAAAAAAAACAAAAATAAAATCTAGAATAGCCGTTTCCTCAAAACTGTAGGGAAGAGAAAGTGAGCAGGAGAAATGATCAGTGATGGCTGGTGTGAATGAAAGTCCCTACATCACACGAGACACTGAAACCGAAAAAGGAAGACCAGAGACAGGGCTCGAGTCCAGCACTCAGTGTGACTGGATGCTCAATTAAAAAGTAATTAATTCCTCTCCAGGACGCAGATATTCTACTTGCTCTTTAACGTGTGTGTGTGTGTGTATGTGTGTGTGTGTGTGTGTGTGTGTGTATTATATGGATACTAGTACGTTTCCACTGGGAAAGTCGTTGCAAAGTTGAACAGACAACGTAACACATATTTGCTAAGTGCCCTGAGCTAAATTGCTTTGGGGATGATCTAATTCTCACAGCTCCATTTGATGCCTCATGTGGATTTCAAAATTCCCAAGTCCAAAACTGAGCTCCTGATCTCCCCTCCCAACCAGCTCCCCAGGCCACCTTCCCACCACCTGCACAGGTAGCATCAGGCTCCCTTGAGTTCGGGTTAATGATGCCTTCATTTTCTAAGAATATTCCAGAGTCTTGCTTTCCCCCAGGCTACTCACTCTCACCTGGCTTCCTGTCTGCTTTCCGTTCTGCCTGTCCTCAACAACTTTACCCAGAGCAAAACCAAATCCCTGCCCAACATGACCTTTTTGTTGTTGTTGTTGTTTTGAGACTGGGTCTCACTATATTCCCAGGCTGGCCTCTAACTCCTGGGATCAAGCAATCCTCCTGTCTCAACCTCCACCATAACTGGAACTGCAGGTGAACTTTCAAAAATCAAACTTAATAACTTAATTTTTTCCTTATTATGTTGATTCATTTATTATTTTTTACTAACTCTTGGCGGTTTATGTTTTTGAAAAAGTTGCTTATTTCTTGAGATGTTAAAAAATAGGATAGCTCACAGTTGCATATGATATCTTTCCCATTTTTATTGGTGCGTTATAATTGTACATAATGGTGGGACTTGTTGTTGCATATTCGTACGTGCTCATATTGTAACAATGTACCTTGGCTAATATCCTTTCCGAGTATTGTTCCCTTTCCTCCCTTCCCTGGGTGCTTTTTCCCTACTCTAATGATCTTCCTTTGATTTTCATAAGATACCCTCACCCCACCTTTCTTTTCCTTTTTCCTCTCTAGCTTCCATATATGAGAGAAAAAATATGACCCTTGACTTCCGAGTTTGTCTCATTTCACTTAACATAATGTTCTCAAGTTCCATCCATTTTCCTGCAAATGCCATGATTTCATTTTTCTTTATGGCTGAATAAGAAAATCCATTGTATGTGTGTGTGTGTGTGTGTGTGTGTGTGTGTATATATATATATATATATATATATATATATATATATATATCACATTTTCTTTATGCATTCATTTATTGATGGACACCTAGGCTGGTTCTATAATTTGGCTACAGTGAATTGTGCTGCTATAAACATGGATATGCATGTATCACTATAGTATGATAACTTTTTAACTCTTTAGGATAAAAACCAAGGGGTGATATAACTGGGTCGTATGATGGTTCCATGCCTAGTCTTTTTTTTGGGGGGGAGGAATGGGTACCGGGGATTGAACTCAGGGGCACTCAACCATTGAGTCACATCCCCAGCCCTATCTTGTATTTTACTTAGAGACAGGGTCTCACTGAGTTGCTTAGCACCTCACTTTTGCTGAGGCTGGCTTTGAACTTGCAATCCTCCTACCTCAGCCTCTTGAGCCACTGGGATTACAGGCGGGGGCCAGTGCACCTAATCCATGCCTAGTCTTTTGAGGAGCCTCCATACTAATTTCCATAGTGGCTGTACCAATTTAGAAGCCCACCAACAGTGTAATAGTGTTCCTTTTTCTCCACATCCTCTCCAACATTTGTTATTGTTTGTGTTCCTCATGACTGCCATTCTGACTAGAGGTGAACTCTCAGTGGCATTGTGATTCTATTAGTTTATCCCTCATGATGCTGAACATTTTTTTCATGTATTTGTTGGCCATTGGTATTTCTTTTTTTGAAAGTCTGTTTAGTTCATTTGTCCATTTATTAGTCAGGTTATTTGCTTTTTTGAGTTTTTTATATATTCTAGGTATTAATCATCAGTCAGAAGAGTCGCTAGCAAAAATTTTCTCCCATTCTGTAGGTTCTCTCTCCACATTCTAAATTGTTTTCTTTGCTGAACAGAAGCTTTTTAATTTGATGCCATCCCATTTATTAATTCTTGGCATTATTTCCTGAGCTTTAGGGGCTCCTATTGAGAAAGTTGTTGCCTGTGCCTATGTGTACAGTGTTGACTGTACATCTTCTTCTATGTTGCAGAGTTTTTGGTCTCATTTCTAGGTATTTGATTCACTTGTGCAGGGTGAGAGATAAGGGACTAGTCTCATTCTTCTACTATATGGACAACTAGTGTTTTCAGGACTTTCTCCAATCTATGTTTTGGGCACCTTTGTCAAGGATCAGATGACTACATTTGACTGTGCTTATCCCCATTCTGTATTGTCTTTGTATCTGTTTTTACACCAGTACCATGCATTTTTTGTTACTATAGTTCTGTAGTATGATTTGAAGTCAGGTATTGTTATGCTTCCGACATTGCTTTTTTTGGCTTAGAATTGCTTCGGCTATTCTGGATCTTTTATTCTTCCAAATGAATTTTAGGCTCCCTTTCCCCCCTAATTCTGTGAAGAATGCCATTAGTACTTTGATGGAGATTATATTGAATCTATATATTACTTTTTATAGTATGGCCATTTTAACAATATTCGTTCTGCCTATCCATGAACATGGGAGGTCTTTCCATCTTCTTGTGTCTTGAATTCTTTTTTCAATGTTCTATAGTTTTCATTGTAGAGGTCTTTCACCTCCTTCGTTAGATTTCTTCCTAGGTTTTTGTTTGTTTGTTTTTGTTTTTTTAGGCTATTGTGAATGGAATTGTTTTCCTGGTTTCTTTCCCAGGAGATTCATTATTGGTATGAAGGAAAGCTATTGATTTTTTATATGTTGATTTTTGTAGCTTTCTACTTTGCTAAATTTGCTTATTAGCTGTTAGAGTCTATAAACAAGTCAAAATAACACCTGGCATTTTGCCAGGGGAATGTTAGAGTTCGTAAACAAGTCTGGATGGTGCCTGGCAAAATGCCAGAGGGAGTGGTTTGAGAAGTAACAAAAGCAAGCCATTAAGTGTGGAGATTCCTGATTGGTTGACTGCTGTATCTAGTTTATGTTAATTAGATAAGCTGTGTGGAATGTATAAATACTGCTCCTGTCCTGCAATAAACGGCTCCCACTCCTGCTGTATCAACGTACACAAGTTCTTCGTCACCCCCCTGATTATTCTGCTGCAGCCGGACTGCGGCAGATGGTGGCCCGTACGGGGAGCCCCAGGACACTCGGGGGTAAGTGACGAAAAAAAGCTGCCCGTCCATAGATAGGACGGGAGCAAATCTGCTCGTCCCTAGGCAGATAGGGCGAGAGGAAAAATGGCCATTTCGAGAAAATGGAGAAGATTGATACAGTATGTTTGTGTCTTGTTTTGTCTCAGTGTATTGTATTGTCTTTGTGATGAGAATATGGAAGGGGCGAGAAGTAAATTGATAATGGAAAGAGGCACCCCAGTGGAACCAAGAATAGTTAGGGCATGTGTTGATGGAAGCCCAGGAACTCTAGTCAGAAAGAAAAAGAAAGTTCTGAAGAAGAAAGATTATCAGGAAAAAAGTTACAGCGAAAGGCTATTACTGAATACTTTTCGTTACCGGAGGGTGCATCAATCGGCTGCCACGTGCGCGAGCTGGTCATGGCGCAGCAAGGGCTTTCCAAGCGGCGGCAATCGGCTCTTCCCTGCCCCCTGCCCGGGGAGCGGGATGCCACTGCGAGAGCCCAAATCCAAACCTGTGCCCGGAAGCAGTTTGAGACCAGGACTCTCCCCAGGGCCATCTGGGGCTGCCCAGGACGCTACAGCCAGCAAAAGATGCTACTGGCGTCCCTGATGTTTGGTCATTTCCAAGGCCAGTAACTACAATGGTTCTCCCACACCTGGAAGCTAATGAGTAATGAGCACTATTAAGGCTTATTTCAAATGTAAAAAACCTTGAGGTAATGTACTAAATTGTTCAGAAGGTTGTTTTCTTAGTAGAATGCTACAGGATTTTCTTTAGCTATCTGGAGTTCCTGCCTTCGTCCCAGTGCTGGTAAAGACCAAGGTGGAAGAATTTCCAGTGTTCCTGAGAACTGGAGGAGACTTCGGATTAAGCTAGTTGCCTGCAGAACTTACCTGGACTGTGATTTAAGCTAGCTGCCTGCAGAACTTACCTGGACTGTGATTTACCTGGACTGTGAGTTAATCTATTGAGACACTGTTTTACCTGGACTGAGACAACAAAGTGTAATCTAGAACAAATTGTAACTCAGTATCTTTGCTAAAGGTGTCATTGCTGGTATAATTTTTCCAAGGGCTTCTTGCATGGAGCCATCAATTGGCTTGGTATTGTGGCATTTTGTATCCTCCCTTTCTGTTTGTAGCAGGTTATTTATGGTGTTTCTATAAAAACCACTATGGTCGTTATTTAAATTAAACAAAAGGGGGAAATGTTAGAGTCTATAAACAAGTCAAAATAACACCTGGCATTTTGCCAGGGGAATGTTAGAGTTCGTAAACAAGTCTGGATGGTGCCTGGCAAAAGGCCGGAGGGAGTGGTTTGAGAAGTAACAAAAGTGAGCCATTAAGTGTGGAGATTCCTGATTGGTTGACTGCTGTATCTAGTTTATGCTAATTAGATAAGCTGTGTGGAATGTATAAATACTGCTCCTGTCCTGCAATAAAGGGCTCCTACTCCTGCTGTATCAACATACACAAGTTATTCGTCCCCCCCCCCCCCC